AAAAATTAAAAACGTGCACAACTTTTTGATCATGACAACATGATTTCATCAATAGAACTCGTTATTTCAAAAAATCTGTCAATTGACTGATCGTTGGGAATCACCTACATTTCTTGATTACTTCTAAATGACAGCAAGCCAGACGGAATAATTTCACAGGGCGTTTAGTACCAGTAGGCCCCTACAATCTTGAATCCATGTACGTAAGCCTTTTGATAATTAATCAGTTGGGATATTGAAAATAATCAGGGGTGTGAGTGACCACTGATAAAAATAGCTGAAAACAGCTGAAAAAGGTGTAAAAAAGCTGAACTTTGGAAATCTCCTATACTTTTGTACACAGCCAGTGAGGGAAAAAAAGCTGAAATCCAAAACAAAAAAAGCTGAAATCAGCTTTATAGCTGAGATTTCACACCCCTGATAATGCTGTATGCCTTTAACTTTTGATTAAGAGTAGTGCAAGAGAGTTTATTCATAAAATTAGTGCAGAATTTGTTGGATTGTCTTCACTGCACACTTACTTTGCCATTTCTTTCACAAGATGAACGCCACGGAAATTCAAACATATAAAGAACTTTATAGCTAATTAAAACATGTACCCGTATGGTACTGTATAATAAGTAATTCCACAATTACATGTAAAGTACAAAGCAAAAGCAAAGGCTGTCACGAGCCAATATGGCCCATCAGGCCAGCGGTTATCTCCGGTTTCATGGGCATGAAACGACTGAGAATATTTCTATTCCCCCTGGATGGGATGCCTGTCCATTGCAGGTTACTCCCCAGCTAATGCCAGACTCGCCAGTACCCATTTATACTCCTGGGTGGCGAGAGGCAAAGGGGGTGCAGTGGCTAGCCCAAGGAGACAACATATGGCCAGCAGCTGGATTCGAACCCCTGACCCTCTGATCATGAGTCACGAATCCTAACCTGCAATAGGCCATACTCCCCCACACAAACAAATGTCAACTCCACACCCAAGGAGACAACATATGGCCAGCAGCTGGATTCGAACCCCTGACCCTCTGATCTTGCGTCACGAATCCTAACCTTCACTAGGCCATACTCCTCCACACAAACAAATGTCAACTCCAACCCTAATGAGAGAAGTCACAGTCTGCCCACTCAAAATTATCGAACGTTCTATACATGTACGTGTGTGTTTGTAATCTACAGGGTGAGACAAAAAGAAAGTGACCTTTTGAGAAAATATTTTTAAAAATATGTGGCTCACTCTATCTTATAAAAGTAACAAAGCACATATATTTTTGACTAGTGAAGTCAAAATTTCACTCAATTTGCTTTCTACATGTATGTCCACAAGTTATGTCTATTCTAATACAAACATCACAAATTCAGCAATCCACCAATGATAATTGACCGTATTAATACAATGAAACAAGGGCGTTTTCCTGCCTTCATGAATGAATGTAAACTTGCACAGGATAACAGATAAAAATCACCACCATTGTTTCAAAAAATACTTCCTCGTACATGTATTCAAAACTCAAAATCTTACAGTAAAAATAGTGATTCAGCCTGGGACAAAAATTATAAAATTCTCGTTTATATCTGAATGCCTTTGTGAAATCTCTGGTTCTCACTCAGCTCAATAGCATCAAATGGCTTTCCATCATGTCCATGGACAACTGTAAAAATAGATTCTTTTAGTAAAATCTGCATTTACTTCTCATAGCATGGATCAAATCAGTAATTCCTTTTTGCAAATGAGTGGAAGAGCATGCTCGTTTAATGCTTCGTTGGTGTGTCAAATTTAACTGCTGTTTAATTAAGGGAGAAAAATCCTTAATCGTGGTCAGTCTCTTTTTGTCTCGCCCTGTATAGCCACAGTCCCTTTAAGATGTGAAGAAGTTTACATTTACCCCGTCGCCATGGTGTAGTTGTTAAGCCCCTCATAGAATTACAGTTGTAATATTGATTGGGAGGCCCAACCAGCAAGTCCCACAATTAACTCGAGCTACTCCCTGTTTATTTGATAGCCGCGCAGAGAGAAGTAAAGCGCGGAGACAAGTAGGCAGGACAAACAGTTCTTACAATGTCCCTGTAAACCCAACACGGGACGGTGCTTGAATAGTTTGTACACACACTGATCCCAAGAAGTGGAATACTTGGGAAAAGAAATTGAGAGCACATACAGTACATGTAGGATTAGGAGGAGTGTTGTATTAGGCCCCCCTAAAAATAATAGCTTCCGGTTACCCTACCTACCCTATTCTGACAGCCCCTACCCTAATTTTTTTGGGGGGAAAATGAAAGAAAAAAAATGAAATCTTCAATTACTACCTTTTACCCATGACTACATGTACCGGTACATGCAGACACCTCCATATGATCATACACACAAAATATTGCCAAACAAAAAAATATTCCCTACCTACCCTACATGTATTTTTAAATGCCATGTAATCGGAGGCAGAACTACATGTATTTTTTTTGTCTTACATAAAACTTCATGATCTTGTTCAGAACTGTGAAAGGTGTAAACTTTGGGTGTTTTTACAAACAGCAGTTTCTGAAAAGCTCTCTCCCCCCCCCCCCCCCCCAAATAAAGGTTTCCGTCACTGATGCATCCTTCCCCTTATCCCCATAAACGTGTCTCAAATACTGGACTTCCTCCATATTTAGAGCCACACAACGATGTTCCGGTGCGTACTGTAAAATTGCTGGAAAAGTTGTATTTTCTGAATTTGAAATCTAGACTGCTTTTTCAAGTTTGATATTTGCTATGGAACTCCTGAAGCTCTCTCCTGGGAAAAAAACCCAAAAGGTCAAAGGTGCACGACCCATGACCTCGAGAAAAATCCTGTTGTCATATCGGACAAACTCTGTCCAAATTTCCCCGGAAAATTACACGATAACTACGGTACATATACAAACAATAGGTGTCTAGAGGTACAGAATTCAATTTTTCCTGGTTACTATAAACCACGTAAATAAATGTACGTACATAGCTCCCGTAATGAATATCAAGTGGAAAAACACTGGAAAAACATTGAAATTCTTAATTTGGTACTTCTGGATTTAATTTGATTTATTCTTAAAGCAACTTGCACACAAAGTCCAATGGGAAAAAAGCGTAATTAGATTTTTCTGTACATAATTGCCCATAAGCCTACTTTCCCGCTGGAATGACTGACAACATATTGACACCATATTACATTTTGAATCTTTCAACAGCTTTTTGTTTTGGGGTTCGACTGTTTGTTTTTCTGTCTTCAATTCTGCAGCCTCGTTACAGAAATAGAGACATATTTGTTTTGCTTAATTTAGTCAGCTCTGTAAACATCCAAACCCCAGGTGCATTGGACAACCTGTGGGAAAACACACATGTCCACGCTTCTCAATGGATAGTTGCACATATTGCTCTTTGCCTAGCATTTTGTTTACAAACTTTTGTTTTAGCCCGGTTCGTAAATCATCCCGCTGGGGGGAAATTGATGGGCTTTTTACTTCAAAGGTTGCATCAATGTACACAAGTTTGATAAAGTACCCAGTGAGAATGAACAGTTGTCAGCAGCACGGACCGCTTTTATGCCAGGACAATTTTTTTTTTACCCATATCATGTACAAATGCCATAGCAAGTTTAGAATTGCTTTTAGGACAACACTTAACTTAGGGACCTTTAACATTCCGAACCGAGGGACGAAGCCTATTTTTTTTTTGTGAAAGACAAAAGCTTGGTATCGCACGCATGATTAATTGACTTTAATAGCTGTTTACTTGGACGCAAAGTAAACATTCTGCAAGTTTCACAACCAGCGGCACAAAAGCCACGGCAAACGACACCAACATTTACAGTTGATGGTTGATCAATTAAATTGCTGTTTATATATGGCTAAATTGCCTGTCATTTTTCATTTCTTGTCAAAATGCGCAAGTGTTATCAAAATGCATGCAATGGGACGATGTTTCTTTTAAGTTTCATTGCATGAAACTTTGAACATTCTGCAACATTTTGTCTCATTAATCATGATATTGTACTTTCAGTCAGCAGGACCTGACTTTATGTGCATTTGTTGGTCTTCAAAGATCTCATGCTCTGGGCATTAGCTTTTCCCCTTCTGTTCATTTCGGCGGTTCGGCTGCAGCACTGCCACCTACCACACACTTAAATACTTGTTCATCGCTAATTCTCCACACATTTCAATCGGCTTGTGATGAAGTGCCATAGGCACATTTTACGGGAAAACAAAAATTGAGAAAGATTGTTGCATCCCGATGTATTTTTTTCATGATAAGAAGACCTAAATCTCAATGAAGGTCAGTCATCACAAAAATTTGGAAAGAGTTATGAACCTGGGATTGAGAAACAATTAAGTTAGAAAATACAGGGTGAGTAAAAAAAAATGAAACCCAAATGCCAGGACCATTGTTTGAGTGAAGTTCTGCATGAAGCACTTTCAAAATCTAGGATATAAAAGCCCAATTCATAAGCTTCCTTTTAGTACAAGAATCATTCAAATCACTCATGTACATTGTAGTTTTTCAATTTTGAGTTTTAAACACAACCACCGTTTTAAAGTTCTGTCCAAGGATCACAAAAAAGGTGTGCATTCCTCCATCAAATCGAAAACAATTCACAAACATCCCTATGTGATTGGTTTTCGTTTTGCTGGAAGAACACTGAACTTTTTTGTGATCCGAGGACAGAACCTTAAAATGGTGGTTGTGTTTTAAATTCCGTAACTTGAAAAGTACATAAGTGATTTGAATGATTCTTGTACTAAAAGAAAGCTTATGAGTTGGGCTTTTATATCCTAGATTTTGAAAGTGCTACATGCAGAAATTCACTAAAACAATGGTCCCCACATTTGGGTTTCTTTTTTTTTTTTACTCACCCTGTACGGTACTTTAAAAATGCATGCAACTCTCTACAGACTTTGTACACAACCAAACAAATTGGTTTCTGTGGATAACACATTCTGTTATCTTGTTAGAAATGGAATTAAAAATATTAGTCCTATTAGAATAAATATTTTATGATTAAAAAAAATTACCAAAAGAATATAATATTTTCAAACAAAAATGTACTCACCTGCTTCCATAGAAACGTATCCGAATGATTCTTGGCAACTGCACAAATTGTGTGGATGACTGCAAACGAGCACCCGCTTATGACGGCTAATCGCATTCGGATCGGTAAGAGGGTGTACACCATGTAAATGAAGAAAAGCGTCGTCCACACCCCTTTCGAGGCGGAGCGCACCGACGCGTCCAACACGTCAATGGCAGTCACAGCTGCTAACGAAACGATCACGACATAGCACACAACGCTGAGCTGGCACTGGCTAAAAGCACTCCGGTAGCACAGGGCGAACATGACAACGAACACAATGATAAGTAATCCCAGCAATACCCCCGTTACGGGTAAAGTTAAGCCCGGGATGTAGTAAAAGCAGATCATGACGACCAGGATAATACCAATTAGTACAAGGAGGTTCGATAAAGAACTCTTGTTCAAGCTGAAAAAGTAACGCTGGTACAGCCTTTCCAGCTGGGGGGACTTGAACTTTTTGGACTGAAACACCTTGGAAATTCCCTTAATTGATTCCATGCAGGAGGAGCCGCGTCGCGACTCCTCGCGATCGCGCATCCCGCGGCTGCCGTTCACTTCTTGCAGTTCCACTGAACGCACTTGCACGTCCCCGTTCTTGCCCATCTCCGCGGCGATCTTCCCCGGCCGCTTCTTGGACAAGTTCTTCTCCTCCGGTGGTTGCTGTTGCCGCGGCGACTCCGCATCCTTCGTCTCGGCCGCGTCCCAGGCCGACCGCCGACTTTTGCCGGACGCCGTACTCCCGGGTCTCGGCTGTTGCTGATGACCTTTCTTAGTCATGCCCCCTGGAGGCATGGTTCTGTTGATCTCGCCCGCAGTCGGAGGCGAGGCAGCCCGTTCCAACTCCCCAGTCTCTGGTACTACCTCGGTCTTGTGCCTTAATTTATTCTTCTTTTTACTTTTCTGGCCGTCTGGAGTGCTGTCCTCCACGCATAGGGCTTGTTTTTCATCCTCGACCCAGGCAGAGCGTTGTTGACTGGTCCCACTTGCAGCAGAGCCAGGCGCCGACTGACTCGGCTCCTCAGCCGTATTGCTGTGGGCTGACATTGGGCCAGCCTAAGTCACTGCCGACTATAGAACGCACACTGTGGACGGCGGCCGGTTGCCAATGTACACACACACTAGCGTTCTCATTGACTTGCTAATAACGTATGGTAGTCATGCACGAACAGCCTGTAGCAGTCAAGAGAAGATAGACAGAGTTGGTTGGGCTTTGATTCAGACAAGTTACCAATCAATAACACTAGGGCCTGTCGTCTGGAAGAGTGAACTAATTAATAATTCGACTTTTTTAAGAGGTAATCTTCAAATGAAAATCTGGCATGAAATATGCCTTAGAGTCTTGGCCTTTGGCAAGGTGCATTTTTATTAGTTTCTCAGCATTAATCCGTGAAAACTACATTTTTACTAAGATTAGAATCTGTGCAGGGTCTGCGATCCCCCCCCCCCCAAAAAAAAGGATAATTAAATTTGTCTCTAGCAAAATTTCATCACTCAGTACGCAAAACCAAATACCAGCAAATTTCTACACTAACAAATTCAAATCACAAATTTATTCATAACTGTCAACTTAGGCTAGGTATAGAAATTTGCAACTTGTCAAATTAAGAATTTTTGTACTATATCTGTTTAAAAAGGGTGGATAAAACAGCCAATATTGCTGCAAAGGATGCAGTTCACTGACTCTGAACAAAAAGGCTATTCAATAAAATTCTTTTTTCTTTTTTTTGAGAATCTAAAATGGCACATGCATATTTGTTTAATTTCATGTTATTAATATTGAGAAACCATACCTTGCTACCGGTACATGTAAATTTAGAGTTCAACTCACAAGTTATGACTTTTGCTTTTAAATCCTTGGAGTGATTTTTTATTTATTAATATAATTTCCCTTTTTGTGTGGGATGCTTTCTTTTCTTCCAGCCCTTAAAAGGCTCACAATATCCCCGTTTGGGAAGTAGTATAAATTAATTTCCTCAATTGCTCTCTATAGCTGAAACGTGCTTTGAGGTCTATGTTTAGATGTCAACCAATAAACAATCACAAAAACAATCACATTATTTTATTTGCACCAATGAACTAAAAAGGACGAAAATTGGATTTCAGATATTAAATGTAAATTCAGATGCCACTTTATTGGTTATGTTAACTTGTGTATTCTATGGTGCTTGTGTGAACTTTTCAAAAAGATTTTCCCCCAAATTTATTTATGCTTCAGGTGCTGAAAGAAGGTTTTTTTACATGTACATGAAGTGGCAAGAATGCCTTCTTTTCTGATTTTTATCTTGATGCCGGGGAGTCAGGTTGGCGTAGCGGTACTTTCCTCGCCTTCCACCACTGTGACCCGGGTTCGAATCCCGCCTGGGCCAATATGTGGATTGGGTTTTCAGCCCCTGCCTGATTCCGTGGGTTTTCCCCAGAATATTCTTCTAGGGTTTTCCTCCCACCTCTAAAACTGTAACTTCTTCTCATTGTCTTCTCTTCACAGGTTTCTTCAGGCTTGTTAACTACAGTGCTTTTAAGGAATCCTTGGTTTCATTACCAGAAATGATTAATAATAATAATAATAGTAATAATGTGCACGTATACGAATTTACCTCTATCCTCATTTATAGGGTTTTCCCCTTGGAAAAATTTTGCAGTTGCTCCCGCATGGCTTAATTATTATGATGCCAAGTAGGTTTTGTATAGATCTAGATTTGTTTTGCAATGAGTTTATCATGAGTTGATATCACTGAATAACATAATTTCTGGCAAGATGTAGTTGACATAGGCCTACATACATATACATGTACAGGTACGTATATGTACCACGCAACTCACTGACGTTTTAGCTATAGCGGCAGCCATGACATAACTACCGACCTCAGATATGATAAGAGGCAACACCTTGCATCTTCTGGGACTGCATTGGTTGCTATACGGCCTGTTTCGCTTAGTACATTGTAGTATCAGATATTTTTCTTTTCAAATAACATAGAGCCTGATTTCCTTACCATTTATGTATTTTTTGGGTAGATATACAGGGTCGACAGTAATAAAAAAAAGGTGTTTTTTCTTTGGTAAGGATCCCAAAAAAGGATTCGTCAGAAATTAAAACCACATAATTAAACAGGGATGCCCTTTAAGAATGTTAGAATGAAGTACATGTGTGTGATAGTGTAGTTACGGGCCCTGTTCCTATTAGAGAACGAAAACAAATGTTTAGGTTATATTCGATTCACCCAATTATTTAGTTATGGTTAATACCAACAGGAGTGTTGTGGACAGGGGACAGGGTTTTAATTTATTTAGGGAAATTTTGGCCATTACAAAATGCAAAAAGAGAACAAAGATGGTGATCAACTCAATGCACCGTGAATTCACAACACTGCCTTGATTCCCATGGCACCAACTGGAAAATGCGAAATGAAATTGCACAATATTTTCTTCCAAAAAGTACACTACAAAATACCAAATCATAGGGACTTCAGAATTAAAAGACTCCTCATTAAGGTTGCAGAAGTCGTTTTGGAATGATGAAAACACTCTATAAGAACTAAAATGAAAGAGGAACCCGATACAATCACCCACTTTTTCACCATACATGACCATACCCTCAAATAAAGGTGATCGTGTAGTGTAGGGCCCCTCTTTAGTTTTAATCAAATTAGAGTCAAGCGTGTTTTTTAGTATTCAAAAATGACCTTTTCAATACAGCAGACTTCTCTCAATTCTAGAGACACCTTTTTGGGTAATTTTGACCAGTTTCTGGAGTAGAAATTGCTATTTTTGCGTTTTTGGCGATCATGTAGTTACGGGCTCAGTTCCTAGGCTAAAAGAACAAAATCCACTTTTAATTTATTTAAAAACTAGTTGGCAACATTAAGAACATGCAGGTATGTCATAGATAGAGAGGGCAGGGTTTTGAATTTGAGGGAAATTTGGGGGTAAAATGATGACGACAGCGCGTTTCGTCAATGTCGTCAATAGAAGATAGCGATCACTGCAATGCACAGTGAACGCACAAGGGGCGCTGAATCACATGGTGTCAACGTTTTTTTTCAAAAAAAATGTTGCAACCTGATGCCACTGAGAAACATGTCCAATTTTGTTAGGAAATACTTAGAAAATGTTCTTGACTCTCCATAGACTTTGACACAACCGCTGAAGTGGCATCAGGTTGCAACATTTTTCCCCCTATTTCTATGCACTTGCCTTGAATTTGCATTCACAACACGCGCACATTGTAAAGCACCTGCGCAGATTATTATTACAATCAGAAAAAGACAGAATCGACATGATCATGATGATCGAGGATCATATATTCTACAAAATATTCCAAGCCTGAGGTATTAAAATAGATTTTTTTTTCCATAATATACTTCAGGCCTACCACTAGTAGTAGGTCTTGTTACTCGACTCGGCAAGCCACTTGAGGATCTAGACATTCTCTAGCGTTACATGTGCGATATTGAATCAAGTACCATTGACACTGTGTGTATCCAGTTACATTGCAGTAAACATGTTAACAGTCACCCTTACGAAGTTGACCTCCATTAACGCGTTTAATTTCCACATTCAGGCGATGGCAATCCCCCATGTCAACACCCCACGATTCAAGATATCACTAGGCATTACCTTGCTCCCAACTGCTGCATTTGGACGGTGTAAAACTTCCAGAAATTGTCCATGTTTTGTAGTTTTCGCGGCCTGCATCGTATACAACACGTTCACATAGTGGCCATTTTGATTAGAAATGCAATTTTGTACGGACGTACGACGTGTAGTTCATACACTTGTGTACAGCGTTGCCGGGTACACGGGTGTTCTTATGACTGAAATGTGTACACGCTCCCCATAGAAACCAAAGCGGCTTGCTGGAAACACTCAAAGTCAAAATTTTGTTCTTGGTGATAAGATGGATTGGGTCCTCAGTGGATTCAGAGAAGTTAAGCACGAGAGCAGATATCTGTAAAGTTAAGTTTCTTTTACAGCTTATCAGAGCAAGAAATTTAAACAAAATATAAAATTTTAGGTATGTGCCGATTGGAGGAGGGCAGAGGCCGGGTAGGCGGGGAGGGGACACACCCTTTCAAAGGTGATCTTATAGAAAAAGTGAAACAAATTCAATTACCTGACGGGCGTGATCGGGCAGGGTGTATGTATTGGGGCCAATTCGGAGGTTTAATTATGAGGTCCTCATTTTCCACGGGGGGGGGGGCACTCAGTTGGTTGGTTATTTACAAACCTGTATTACATGTATATTTTATTATTTTATCTTTATCCGAATTTTGAATGGTAGTGGGACATCTTTACAATTAATAACAGTCTCATAATACTGAGAGGGGGTGGGAGGGGGGCATCTCACTTCACTTGCGTTTAGGTACAGGAACATAAGACATTGGTTTATTTGTACATAATGATGTTGCAAGTTGACGTCAGTACTCAGTACAGTTTGGGTGCTATCACAAAATCTCTCTTTTGACGGCTCAGAAGAATTAACCCTCGTCGGCGCCTTGGATACTGGTTGGGGCCGATATAGTACGAGTACGAGTTACAAACGATTACAAACGAAAAACTTCATGCAAGCGCCTTTCAGGGTTCGTTTTTTTTTCAGCAAAACTGCCAAGATGATTCAGGCCTAAAAAAAAAGATTTCAGGTTTTTTTGGGGGGGGGATTATCGATAACTAAAACATTGTTGTGAGCTGCTGTATAAATTACATGAAATTATTTTTCCCATGCCAATGAACTGAAAAGTTGAATTAAAGGCTTGAACAGTCTGTGCACCTGTAGGTCGATTTTTGCAACACTGTCGAGAGCGGGACGCTCGGCTTATTCAAAATACAAAACATTTAAAAATGTACTGCCCATACTCTTCAGTCAACAAAATTCATTTCCCCTGGCGAATTATCAACTAGTACGTTTGCTTGTTATTAAGTAAGGGGGAATTGGTGTGCGATAACCGAATTTAAGTCGGGCAGCAAATATTTCGAAAATTATAAACTAAATCATTTCAATGATGGCATGGCTATACATGGACCTTGTTTATTCGATGTCTCATGCAAAAGAGAATTCTTTTTTGTGTTGCTAGAAAAAAAAGCAGCAATAGAGAAAAGAGTTTCCGGGGTAATACACGAAAATAGCACGGAAAGTATACTCTTTGTGCGCCTATTTTTTCTTATTGCGTGATCCCTAGAATAATGGAAATTGGATCAGCTATAGACAAGTTGCAAGGACAATTTATTTCATTCTTATTTTTGACTGGGTAGCCCATTCAGTGGAATCCACTGGTCTTCCATCGGGCCCAGTAAAGAAAAGAGAATGTGAAGAAATTACAGTTTTAGATGTGGGAGGAAAACCCCAGAAGAATATTCGGAGGGAAACAGACATGGACTGAAAACCCAATCCACAAATGGACACAAGGTGGCGCTCGCCGCTTTTCGTTATGTAGGTCTGCTGCTGCACGGTCTTCCAAAATTAAGAAAGGTATATTGGCGCTCTTTTTCTACCACAACTTTTCACCTTGCGAGTTCTGATCGACATCTTTGGTTCGGGCGTGGTCAATACTAACATCATGGGGGGAGCTTGCAGGCCCTGGTTACAAAAATGGGGGAGTGGATATGATTAAAAATGGAGGGGGCCGGGAGAGACAAAAGCGAGATATATCACCCCATCCCACAAAATGAGGCCCTATTAAACTAAAAATACTGTTGCAAAATGATTCAAAACAGGACATCAGTCAGCACTAGTCATGTTTTTCCTATGGTTTTAATGTTTGTCGCACAAGATTAAATATGTAATTTGAGAAAAAAAAGGGAAAAAAGGCAACAGAATTGTAATACCCTTTGAGTTTTATTGATTACTCTCTCAGTTTACAAAAAGGAGAACCTTTGTACGAAATTTAGAATTTGGAACAGGTTTTTAAATAATTACTTAAATAATTAATTTAAATAATTATTGGGAGCCAACAAAAAAAAACACAGGGGGAAAAAGAAAGAAAAAATATGTGACCGTGGGAATCTCCAAGATACAAGTTTGGAAGGACACCTATTTCAAGAGATTGAAGGCTGCAAAGTTTTCCCAAACTTCACAAACAAAATGCCCAATTGTACACAGATTGACAATAACATGAAAAAAATTTGTAAATAAACGGGAAGACCACATCCTTTTTGTGTGTGACTGCCATAATTGGTGAAACAGCAAAATGTCCATTTTTTTTAAAATGAACTTTAATTAACAGCGATTAGGGAAACAATGCGAAATAGAAACCGGAAAACAAATTTGTTTATGTCCTGCATTACATAGAAACTTCCAACTTTTGTCTTCAGCATATTTCCTGGATATTTGCTCAGGAAATAGTTAAATTTTGAATATTTTAATTGTTTTAACTGCAAGGATAAACAGGAATCTTCTAGGTGCTGATATATACATTAGGCTATTTGATATTTGGATCACCCACAAGACTTCTAGGTGATGTACATTGTCTGGATAATTAATATATAATAACGATATTAATAGAACTGAAAAGAAAGTAATGAATAATAAAAAAAACCAAAAAAAAAACAGGAAACATATCGTTTCAACTCAGTCATCCTTCTGATTGATTACAAAAAATAAAATCTGTTTTAGAATGGCTCTTTTATGAAAGCATCATTAAATGATAATGGAAACTGAACCCTGCCCTTTTTGCATAATTTTTACACCGTAATCGGACCAATTTTCTGTTAAAAAAGGCTTTACTGCAATAAGTTATCAGAGATACAACCGTATCAATTCCATAGTGTCAATCAAGAGTAGGGCTGAGTATTTACGGGTGGCACAGAAATCGGGTACCCGATTGAAAAAAAAAATTGGGTACCCAGGTACTCGTCAAGAAACTCAACTCCAAAATCTAAAACTCGGAAAGTTGCTGTTCTCATTGGTCATAAAGGTCTGAACGATAACACTATCACATCGGTATGGCAATACAGAAAAATACAAGTGTGTACAGTGAGCTCTTTACCAGCTTTACGGTGTAAATTGCATTTTGGTACGCGTCATAAACGTGAATCTGTTTTTTTCTGTTTTTCCATGTAGCCTGGCTTTCATTTGGAAAATTCCTCAGAAAATGACATTCCAAACCTTTCTTGTTTCATTGTCTGAGAAGTTACTGAGTAGTAAGTAAAGTTTATTACGGATGCTTGATTCCATAATATTGAACAGGTTCCCGACATCAGGGGTCTGGTATCTAGGTACCTGGTCCCGATACACAGCCCTAATCATGGAGAATTTCTCCATGCCCTAATCAAGACATAACAAGTACCGGTACACATCATCAGGCCAAATGACAAAGTATCCAGAAAGCAGGGCCGTCGCTATTCGAAATTTCTGTCGGCAAATCTATAATTGTTGTCTGCAAATTTGTTAAATGAGTGAAGGCATGAAAGGCATGCCCCTGGAAAGTTTCCCCTTCATTCTCAGGCAATTTCAGAAAAAAAAGTTAGGAACTGTAGCATTGCATGCATTATTTTTGGCCCATTTTACAAGTATTATAACATTGAACAGGCATGCATCTGAAAATTTAGAAGAAAACAAAAAGAGGAAATTCCAAACCACCCAAGACTTTGTACAGTGTTTTTTAATTTGTAATGGCATTCTTGAGTTTTTCTAAGTAAAAAAACAGAGGAAATCAGTGGATCTGAGGAAAAGTTGCATGCCTGTAGTCAGCGATTAAAATGGGGGGGGGGGGGGGGGGGGGGGGCTGTTGCTGTAACCCATACCCCCCCTCCCCAGATCTGCTAATGGCAGATCTGCTGAGGGTGACGGTGGGTCACGGTGGGGATAGGGGGAGTTAGGGGATTTACCCCCTCCCCCCTTTAGCCCCCCCAAATAGGAAAATCATGCATAAAAACATAACACATGCCTGTTAACCCCCTTGACATCTAACCCCCCCCCCCCCACTCTCTTGGGCCAAACCTGGCTCCGCCCTGATATCTGCAGCCAAAAACTGCAGTGTCTTCCATGTGCAACTCAATGCGATATCCTTTGGATTTGTGCATGCGTAACTTGGGAAGCATTTGCCATGATGAACTATCTGACTTCCCAGGAGTCAGGGACCTCACTGTTATCCACAATGGGCTCCTTGGGCTGAGGCGGGGGACTGGTGGGACTCTCTGGCCGGGGCATCTTAGACAGGGACCTAAAGAAACACATAGAATCAATCAATCGATTACTTTTAAAGTTGCATAACCTTGTGCTCTTCATAAAATGGATTTTTTTTCTGAATGTGTTTTCAATTAGTCTGTTTTGTTTTAACAAAAAATAACTAGTCTGTTCCAATTTTGCCCATCAGGGGCATTCATTATTGTCTGGCAGCTAACAATTTAAATTTTGTGAAGAAGTAATTCCACAACTAAACGTCAGTGGATTTTTTTCATTCGATATCTCACTCAAAAGTGAATAAGTTTTATATTGCTAGGAAAATCAAAAATAGCACGGGGTAACGCATCTTTAGCGATCGTCCACCGGGCGATATTGAGCAGCTACACTCAATCTGAATAGACCAGCTCAAGCTAGCCATAACCCTTAAGATTCCCTGTTCAAAGCAGCGCTGTAGAACTGGTCTTCTTAACAATTTTGGTTCTTGATTACAGCTTGCGCTGAAGTTGGGACCTGATTTCTGTACTTTGGGTATTTTGTTGTAATTGAAGGCGAGTTGTTTAAAGGTACAGTCCATCATTTGCAGCTATCCAAAAAGTAACTGGCATAATTATTCTTGAAAAAAATACTTAGTTGAAAGATAGTAAGGGAACTAAACTCCCTGTGAAATGATTCTTTACGGCATGCTGTCATTTTGAAGAAATCAATGAAAGAAGTCCTTTCCAACTATGCATCTAAAGACGCATCGTTGGAAATTTCCATTAGTAGTTCGTTTTTTTTTTATTCGGCAAAGCGCCCGCAAGCGTTGACACGAATCAGTGCGGGACATCGCGTAGCTGCAATCGGCTCAATGAGATCGTGTATCGGACGCTGAATTCAGGCCCAATTCAAAACATGATTCAGCAACTTTTGATTTGAAATCAAGATCCTAGAATGTTGTTTTTCTCAAAATACACAGCTGAAGCTGAGCAGAAACTTCATCAGGTTAGTTGTTCAGCACCCTTCTTTAGCTTTTGAGAACTTTTGTTGCTTCAAACGAACAAAATGCACAAATTACAAATGATGGACTGTACATTTTATAGGTTGGTTTGGGCATTCGAGTTCTGTGCGCAAGGTATTTGGTTAAGGGGATGCAAATTGAACACGACGATCTGTTGTAAAGATTTTGGTATGGTTTTAGTTGCAGCTGCATACTTGGAGTCTGATTTCAGGAAACAGTGCATAACTTATGCCATGCGTAGGACTTGTGCAACAAATCTGTTGCGCAGCTGTGCAATAAACTTACAATCGATATCATGAAACTTGGCATAGCTGCACAATATTTTTCAAATCTAAACATCTTGTGCGAGGATAACAGCATTTACGACGGCTGTTTGTGTACGATTTTTTTTCGGTCTCAAAACAGTCGTTGAAACTTAGACGAAGAGGAGTTAGGGTCATCGTCAAGAAATCCTTGCTAGGAAGGGCAGGCACATGGCAGGCAAAATTCGCAGAGCGTGGAACTTACGTCAGGCGTCTGGGTGTCTCGTGCTTGGTGTGGACGATTGGAGGCGGGGCCTTGGGGTGTGTCTCCCGATCAATGACGGTGGACAGCGACACCGTGGGAATGAAGCATGTGCCTCTGTCGAGGGAAGGCGGAAAAAAACCAACACCAATTCTTTGTCAATAAACAAGAAAAGCAATGAAACTGAGTAAATCAAATACTTCTTGACAAATAAACAAAGATTAATTTACTAGAAATTGTCTAGATTTCTGTACTGAACAGAAACAAGGTTGGGCAAAGAAAATGACTGGAGAAGGGTTTGAACCTGTGACCTCAAGAAAACTGGGCTGGTGCTCTACCAACTCAGCTACTGAGCCCTAGGTTGAAGCGCTTCCAATTTGTCAACATGTTGGTTCACTGGATGTTGGTCAGAAGCCATGAATCAAACAGTAACAGAACATTGGAATGAAGTGATTTTTAACATTTTTTGGTTATTGTTAACAATGAAATAAAAACAAAAACAACATATTTAAGCCTGGAAGTGCTGGAGAAAAATATTTTTCATTTGGGGAGTCAGGTTGGCACAGTGGGTTCTTTCCTAGCCTTCCATCTCTATGGACCAGGTTCGATTCCTGCCCTGGTCCACATGCGGATTGGGTTTTTAGTCCCTACCTGATTCTGTGGGTTTTCCCCAGAATATCCCTTTTCATTCATTCATTCATATTTATTTCCACTTAATCATTTTGAAGGGAAACGGTTTAAAACAATAATTTAGATAACAGGATAAGATTAAGCGGTGGGCTTCTCCAAAAAGCAAGCTTGTCAAGTGGAGAAGTCCATTATGTGTAGAAAAAAATATATATTAAATACATTTGTACCTTTAACTTAACTACACAATGAAGTACACTTTAAGTTACACAAACACACATATACAAGGGACCAACACAAACAGGACAAGACAAAACAAATCAAGTACAATCAGAACCTACATGGGAAATCATAAGAAGAATATGTTCACAGCAAATAATAAGTAAAACTAAAATTAAGCATTAAGCATTATTGTAACTTTCCATAAGCAGAGACTTTAGCTTCTTCTTAAATAAAGGCCTACTGTTGACAATTCTAAGAGTTTGATTCAATGAGTTCCAAAATTTGGGGCCCTGATAATGAATGAACTTTTTAGCTTTAGCAGTACGTATGTGTGGGATATGGAAATCCCTAGAACCTCTAAAACTGTAATTCCTTCTCATTGTCTCCTCTCTACTGGTTTCTTCAGGCTTGCGAGCTACAGTGCTTTTTGAGGAATCCTGGGTTTCATCATAAAAACACGCACTTAGAATTTGCTCTGAAAGGTAAAAGATTGTTCCTTGTCATATTCTGCTATAAAAAGCACTGAAATGATTTGAATAACCTACTTTCTAGCAGTGGTGACCACGTTGCGCTTGGGTTCCTGGTCATAGCTCTGTGATTCACAGCCGTACATCTCAGACAACTCATGGACCACACGGCGATGGATCTGGTTCATAGCTGGGAAGGCATGGCTACGGCTAGGCTGTTTGGACTGTAAAGGAGGGAGGGGAGCTTCAGTTTATGGTCTACTTCTCTGAGGCTGTGACTCTACATCTAATTGTACTAAAACTTTTAACCGCCACGTTTTTGAGACCCTAGTCTTCAAAGTTCACACAAATCAAGATATGGGAACGTTATCAATTGATGTGGAACAATGATGGATATAGAAAATGAAGTATATTGTTGTTTTAGTAATTTATTAACCCTTTAGACACTGTAGCACCCAAAACCGCCCCGTCTATTACTCACTGTAGCCATGGGCGTCGCGAGGGGGGGGGAGGGAAAGCTTGCCCCTCCCCCCCTCCGGACAAGCCCAAAAAAGAAAAGGGGAGGGCAAATGTCCCTGCCCACCCTTGAAAAAATGATAAATCGGGAAAATGCTGGACATTTTAGGGATTTTTTGGGGGAAAATGTGCTTTGCCCACCTCTAGAAAAATCCTGGCAACACCCATGATTGTAGCCGGAGCACTATATGGTTTTATTGATTCTTCAGCGTGTAAACACAATGTACTACAATGTAGTACAGGTGCTAATGAATTAAAGGCTCGGCACAGAAAAAAGGTAATTCCTCCTGACCCCACTCGTCCTGGCTGTGACTTCAATTGGAGAAAAAAAAATATGGTAGACACATACACCATGAGTTTTATACTTGGTTCTGGAAATTTGGGGTGTGGCAAAACAGCAAAACAAAAAACAAACAAAAAAGTTTAGTTCTTATAAAGGGTGTATCCAAAAAAAAAGGAAACCCAAATGTAAATGTAAACTATAAAAAATATAATAAAAATGTTCAAGTAAGTTAAAGATCATGTGAAACGCAAATGTGTCCTCTTTCCAATGATACCTTGATTGTGTGTGTTGCCACGGATGACTGAGCATTCATTGTTATTCTGTCAAGGGTCAAAACCTGCACTGGGCCAAATTTGTGCAAAAGGGTAACTGGTATTCTGGGTGTGTTGAACAGCTGAATTTAAAGAAAGAAGATGTCCTTTTCTTTTAAACAATTTATTCAATTTTGACGCAGTGATTTAACCACTCTTATTGTTGAAGTTAATCTCTCATGGCCCAATGCCTTCAACTTGGCCACCACCTCCTTCCACACACAGCTCTGCACGACGTGGCATATCGCCAACCGTAATTACCTTTGCATAACAAACCAGCAAGCAACCAGTTACTTTTGCACAAACTTGGCCCAGTGCAGGTTTTGACCCTTGACAGAATAACAATGAATGCTCAGTCAGGACACATTGGCGGTTTCACGTGATCTTCAACTTATTTGAAAACGTTTAATCAATTTTTTTATAACTAAAGTTTACATCTGCGTTTTTTTTAAAAAATTTTTATACACCCTGTATATTCTTTAAGTCTCTCAGGATTTCTAAAACCATTTTCATACTGAAATATGTTTGAACTTTCAATGAATGTAGGGTTACAAACATAAGCATTTGGTAACGAGTATTTTTGTTGGAATCTACACATGTTTGATGCTAAGACTTACAGATTGTGCAGACGTGACCAATGCTGATAACTCCTTGATGATGTTGGCTATCAACTGAGGGTTCTTCCTGCAAATTGAGAAAACACACAAACAAACATGAGTGCCAGGGCTTGGCAGGGCAGGTACTTTTAGACCATTTTTGCTATGAACCTTCCCCCCAGAGTGGCCTAATGGTTAGGGTATGGGACTCACAATCAGAGGGTCAGGGGTTCGAATCTAGCTGCTGGCCATAATGTTGTGTCCTTGGGCAAGCCACTTCATCCCCACTTGCCTCTGTTTACCGACAAGTATAAATGGGTACTGGTGTAGCATGAATTTAGGTTTTATGAAATACGGACTCATTGGTGGTATTGCCCATGCTCATGCATAGATAATTAGGAGAGGGACCGGTCACGTGAGAGGGTTTAACCAATAAAAGGGAAAAAGAGTCCGATTTTCATACGAGTCCGATTTTCATATGACACCAGCATTAGTTGGGGAGTAACGTGTGATGGGCTGGCATCCCATCCAGGGGGAATACAAATATTCTGTCGTTTCACGTTAAGGAAACCAGATACATGTATAACGCCAGCCTGGTGGGCCATATTGGCTTGTGACAGACTTAACTTGCTTTTATTTTACTTCCCTCCAAAATCCTCCTCTGTGCAGGAATTTGCACAATATGAATTCCAAATTATAGTTTTTCGGCCCTACCTTCCTAAATCCCACAAAAATCCTTTAAACCTATTGGCGTATTTGGTACTGTAAGCTGTCTTAAATATATTGCTAAGACAAAAGGATTGATTACAAGATTTTTTTGTATTCATTTGTATACACAACTTTGTTACACCTCTGTCTCAAATACTGTAGAATGATCCCGTGTTAAGTCATGGCACACTCCCTGTGGGATATCAAGTACGTGATATCCCACAGGGAGTGTGCTATGACTTAGTACGTACGATACGTACGATGCAAAACGCTTGTATCGTTGGTACCCACGCAATTTTCACCATGTTTTCACACATGAGTGGGAGCAGCGAACTAGCAGACGATCAGCTGTTTCTAGCACGCGACATGCATGTGAGCCGACGTTCGATTGTCAAACAAAACCCAAAGAAGCTTAAACAGAGGTATAACAAGACAATTGTTGACTGCTGCAACCCTCAGGTGTTCAAAACGTCATATCCCACATCACAGTAGTCAACACTTGTTAAGTGTAACTTTAAGGTAAATAATTTTGACATACAGTGGAGATGGACTGGTCTTAAGGAAAAGACTTTCTGTGCTCGGAAAACATCTTCTGTGAGAAAAATCCTCACTAAATACTTTGACTTTATTGAATAACAGCTCAGAGTTGATAGAAGACCCTCCTTTAAATGTAGCGTGAGTTACCATGGAATTGCCCATATAATGCTAGCCTGAAGATGTTCTGTACATTACCTAGCCTGTTCTTTAAGGAAGGGATTGTAGGTCGGTGAAAACTTGGCAGAGTCTGGATCCTTGATTTGTAAGGCTGAAGCAAGTCGCCTGTGAAGAGAAAAATCCAGGACAAGGATTTCCAACTGATACATGATGTGCACAAAAAGTAATAGGTCGAGACACATTTTCATGTAACACTACTTACTTTTACCCCCCCCCCCCCCCAAAACCTCCACCCCAAAACAAAACAAAAAAAAAAATAAAAAAATTAAAGGGTCAGTACTAGACCAATACAACTTAGCATTTCAGGTTATATCATAGTAGTAAGTATTCAAAGATGAAATATGCTTACTTGTTTCTGGAGAGAATGGAACAATGTTGATCACATTCCAATCTGCAATGGGAAAACAAGGGGTAATACATTTTCCATCTGGTTTTAATATTTCATGCTTACTCCAAGTATTGGGAGTTAAAATGGACACTTGGCAGCAAATTGACAATACATAAAACCTAAAAGCAAGCTGCGTGACTCTGGTTGTGTACTGAACAAACCGTACTTCATATGAGACTCATATCCCGCATGTAAACCTGATTCACTGTGATGTGACTTTGTTGGTTATGGGAAGGCCTATTTGCGAGATAGAGAGAGAGAGAGCATACTGGGGGAGTCAGGTTGGCGCAGTGGTACTTTCCTCGCCTTCCACCGCTGTGACCCGGGTTCGAATGTGGATTGGGTTTTCAGTCCCTACCTGATTCCGTGGGTTTTCCCCAGAATATTCTTCTGGGCTTTTCCTCCCACCTCTAAAACTTTAATATCTTTTCATTGTCTTCTCTCTACAGGTTTCTTCAGGCTTTCAGGCTACAGTGCTTAAGGCACTTTTGAGGGATCCTTGGTTTCATTACCAGAATGAAATAAAATAAATAAATAAATAAAAATACAGGGGTGGGGAAATGGTGGGGAAGGGGGTGAGGGAGGGGTACAGAGGGGTGGGGGTGACAGAGGGGTGGGGGAGTCACAGAGGGGTGGGGGAGTCACAGAGGGGTGGGGGAGTCACAGAGGGGTGGGGAGGGGCTGGCGGGGAGGGACTGGCAGAGGGGTGGCAGAGGGGTGGAGAAGGGGTGGCAGAGGGGGTGGGTGGCAGAGGGGGTGGCAGAGGGGTGGAGAGGGGGTGGCAGAGGGGGTGGGTGGCAGAGGGGGTGGCAGAGGGGTGGGGGAGATATGGCAAAGGGGTGGAAAGGGGGTGGCAAAGGGGTGGAGAGGGGGTGGCAGAGGGGTGGGGACAGGGTGTGGGACAGGGGATAGGGAGGGGGTGGGGGAGAGGGTTGCTTTTGTATGACTTACTGTCGTTGTGTTTTGCTGTTTCTCAGTGCCATCAGCTGGCTAATGTCGACGTCTTGTCCTGATTGGCTGCCCTGTCCGGCCACGGTAGACGTCGCCAGTCTGAAGAAAAAGCATCAATGCCAATTTTCAATCTTGTGAAGGATCAAACAGTTCACTGGTGCCTTCATCCCGGTCAATATATTAATGTTGAGATGTGAAAACTGGGCCTTCATGGGGTCACTGACACTACGAAGGGCACTTAGATGTTCACTAGTGCCCTCATTCCCATTTAATATTTCAGAACATGATGTGAAGGAAAATATGGCCTTCTTGTTGTCACTTATAGCACTGGGTGAATAGGTCACTAGTGCCTTCATCCTAGTTTGTTACATGTATCATGAGATATGCAGCCTACTACTGACCAGACACAGCTTCTTGGGGCCAATAGATGTTTACTACTGCCCTTAGGGCACATAGATGTTCACTAGTGCCCTCATTTTAGTCAATATGCGTAAATTATGAAGTGTACCTCTGGAATGCCTCCGTCAGCCTCACGTCATCTCCACCTTGCAGGCACTGGATGGTCTCGGAGCGGTTCCCACAGGCACAACGGATGACAAACCTGGTCTTGCACTGGGAGGGTGGGCAGGGCGAGCCCGCATGGCAAGGGGCGGAGCAAGCATGGCCACACTCTGGGCGAGGCACCAGGCAGGGCTGCTTGCAGGCTTCACAGCTACCCTGGATATTTCAAGTCACAATATGGACACAACAGGTTACATGACTGTTACTCTGAATGATAGCTGGAACAATGCTTCTTCCATTATTGGGGGCCACGGTGAGTGTACAGCTAGTCTATGGATTGGCCTATTCCAACTGACCATGCCCGCATAAACATTTGCCAATTTTAAAAAATCATATAGGGCACTGATGAAAATTCAGAAATATTCTTGTTACGTGGGAACTTTTTTTGTTTACGCCATGGCTATAGTTATGGCAGTCAACCGTCTGGTTCCCTGACCTGACAATATTCAACGCCAGGATATTTTGGTTTCAAAACCAGACCAAATTGTATGCAAGCAGATTCAGCGATTAATTATGCAAAACAAGACTGCATCTTGACCTCGGGATTCTGACCATTCAGCGGGCGCTTTTTATATCGGGTCACGGTAACCCGTTGTATTACAAAAACATGGTAGCCAAATTGACCAATCAACAGCTTAGTCTACATTTCTGATCGAAATGGCATCACAATTTCTAAAGTCGACTCCGATTGGCTGGCATAAAATGTGCATGCTAGCATATATCAGATGATTGATCGTGTGGCTCTGCACGCATGAATGTCTGGTCCTTAGTCTAGCTGCATGGCATATACAGTTTATGGCTTTTGACTAGCACCCTTGAACAAAGACTTTGACAAAATGAGGAACCGGCATCATACGGCTCAAAAGCTCAGTTGGTAGAGCACTGGAACGGCAATCCAGAGGTCGTAGGTTCAAACCCCCCCAAGTCAATTTCTTTGCGTAACTTTAATATCAAAATTAGAAAAGTGATTTGGGAGATGTTATTCAAACAACAGGCTTCACTGTAAGGATTAACTGGCTAAATTTGGAAACTTCCAATTCCCCTTTCTGATTGGGCTGATTTGAATGTACCTTATGACAGATCATCTTGCATATGTGCATTCCGCATGGCACTTTCTTCCCACAGGGGTGGCCGCATGAGATATCCTTGATGTGGCATGGAATGTTGTGTCTCTTCTACAATGGATCAAGAAGAAGAAAATCAAGATATTTGATTAAAGTTGCGTTCCCGATGCTCTCCAACAATTAATTTTTTCTCCTTATACCTTTTCAATTTTATGTTTTTATTCCAACCAAAAAGGATCCTTTTTCACTTTTTTGGATGTCTGCAACCCTCTCAAAAAAGGATTTTGTTTTAATATTAATAATACCGGAGTCTTATATAGCGCACGTATCTACCAACAATTAGGTACTCAAGGCGCTGGAAATTATGTCTATTGTTAAAGACAGGTAAATGAAATTTATGAGAAATATATGACCCATTATGTAGCACCTTATAAGGGTTTACAAGGTGCTGCGGCGCATATTGCAGCCATATCTTAGCGATAAGTGTTGTGTTGCTGGGTTCTTTAACGCGCATTACACAACACACGGGACCTACGGCTTTACGTCCCATCCGAAGGACGAAGCAATAATGGTAAAGTGCCTTGCTTAAGAACACAGGCACCATGTTCCCATGGTCAGGATTCGAACCCATGTACCACGGCACATGAGTCGAACACCATAACCATTGGACCACAGCACCCAAGTTTTGGGCACAAACATATCCGCTTTGCGAGCAGACTGGCTCCGGGTCCAGGCAGTAAGTAATTCAAAATTTGAAAAGTGAAAAATAGCAATTTCAATATAGTTGAGATGATAAAACCAACAAATTATTGCCTTACCTCGTGGTTGCCCATGCACATTTTGGATGTCAAGTCAGCACACGGCGGGCAGACCTCTTCACTATGGCAGGTATGGCGCACCGGGTGCTCACAGTCATGCCGTCGAGCGCATGGCTCACTGCATTCGGGAGGCTTGGTACCACACCGGATGGGCGGCATCATGACGCTGGCACCACAGTGGCAGGAAAACTCGTCAAAACCTGGCAATTGGAGGCACAAAAACATGCATATTAACCCTAACGTACCTGAACCCATCAAAATCAGCACCCCTGTTTTGGAAGATTTCGGTGGATTCCAAATACCTCCATATTGAAAAAAGTTGGGGGACTTTGATGGATTCAAGATCTCAATAGTTTAACTCCTTGGCTATATGTTTGGTGTGCATGAGGTATGTGTACTACACTGGTGGATTCTGATGGACTCACTGGTGGATTCTAATGGACTCACTGGTGGATTCTAATGGACTCAGGACACGTACATTTTTTGCATGACAAAATTTATGGATTTTGGCGGATTCAGGAAACTTTCTAGTAAAATTGCTCAAGAGGCTAGGGTTACTCATAGTCATGGGCAAGACTGGATTTGGACTTTAATTTAAGTGAAGTATTAAAAGCAGCCGTGCGAGTAGAGGTTGCTGTCAACTAGATGAAACTAATCAAGTATTGGGAACTTAGGCAGCGCTACCAGGAAATTCCGAGCGTACCGCATGTGCACCGTATTCCAGCTAATGCATGCACGTGACGTATGACGAATTTCCTGGGTAGCACTGCCAATACTCCCAAGTTTGAATAGTTGAAGAAAAAAAAGCTAAATTATTCAAAAAAGCACAGCACTAAGATACAACTTACTGGCATTGAGGCAGCGTACACAGTTGCCAGCATGGCACATCTCCTCACATCGATGGAGACCACAGTTCAGCATCCGACCACAGACCTGATTGCAGTTGTGCTCCTTGGCCTGAAAACAAACACTTGATTTGATGAGTCAAATTTGTAGTATGCTACAAGTGTGCTTACAGTGCTTTGTGCAGTCTGGCTTTTGGCAGTTTCAAATGTGGCTACGATTGAAACTGTTCATGTCTGTGTAGAAACAGCATTGTCAACTATTATACAGAAGCAGAAATCTTACGTTAGCCTTAACCCTTTAGGGTATTTGGCTAGACACCCTGCTGAACGCAGCAACATGCAACACTTGTCAAAATGACAAGCCCGCCCAGTGCAGCAAGATCCATCAGGTCAAAAGTCTCAAGGCCAAACTGCCTCAGAGTCTGTGGTCTCCAACTGCAGCAGGATACAACTGTGGCACACTTCAGGGGGGACTTGCTCTCATTTTCGCAATGTCTGTAGTTCATGCACTGGTGTTGATGACTGAATGCAGCAAGGTCCTCACATATGGTCTTAGCCGGGAATCGAACCCGGGCCACATTGGTGAGAGGTGAGCACTTTACACACCAGCCACCCATGCCACTTACAGGCATGCAACTGGGAAATTAGAAAAAAAAACGAGGAAATTCCAAAGCACACCAGACTTTGTACAGTGTTTTTCAATTTGTAATGGCATTCACGAGAAGTAAAAAAACAAGGAAAACTTGCATGCCTGCACTTTCATTCACAAACAATATTAGATTAAATAACATTTAATAACATACCACACAGCATTTGACGTTGCACTTGTGCTTCCCGCAATCCTTTTTCTTGGGGCACTTGCGGTCACACATCATGGACACCTGGCCTGTCAGCGGGTCATACGCCTTGACGAGTTCGCGACAGAGGACGTCAATCATGCGATGGCCGCAACGGCACCGGACCGTGGAGTTCAGAGGGCAGACGGGGCAGTCGCCCTCATGACATGGCTGCTTACAGGTGTGCACATCTGAAATGGACATTTAAGAATTAGATTAACCCATTAATATCTGTACTACTTTATATTACATTGTATTTATTGATCATGATCATGAGCAAGTTCGAGCGAGGACCATTAGTGGATTAGTGGTTGATTTGTGACGAAACTTAAGCCTGTGCACTATTAACCCAAACTCCCTACTGAGTACTAACAACAGTTCCAAGTCTGTCAAAATCCAGCACTGACTCTGCTTCTCAAAATGCTTCAGGACCAAATCCGCCAAAACCCCCACAAATCCACCATTGCTATAGGTGGATTTTGATGGACTTGGTATACATGACTTGTCTGCTGAAATCAACCAATGGATTTTGATGGAGTTGGTTTGGGGGACAGAGTTGGGAAGGTTAGGGTTAAAAGCCCTGTCACACTGTCTGCGATCTTATATGCACTCTCACTGCGTCCTTGAAAAATAGTTGGGGCGCAAAAACAACTACTAGATCGCAGCGACAACTACATAGGTCGCCAGATGGGCGCCAGAGAGTCTTAATGGTCTCCGATGAGCGCCAAGGTCTTTGAACATGCTCAAAACAATCGTAACACCTCTGCGCCCTGGCCAGGACGTCGTAATGATGCATCTCGGGCGCTGTGCGAGCGTGAATCGTGCGACATTGAAGTGGCATTGAGGCAGCCTATAGGCGCAAGGCAGTCGATGTAGTCTCCATGAGAAAGTAACTCGACTGCGATGAACTTGTAGAATAATTTTGAAACTGGACTGTGTATTGACCGTTTTGTCGTGGTATTTATACAGCGCAAGTGACGTCACATGAGCGTCTTTTGGTCGAATAGAGAGCGTGACGCGAGCTACTAGGACGTATCAACAGCGAGCAGAGTGTAGTGTGAGCGCAGAGACAGCGCAACGGCAGCGACTAGATCGAGTAATTGTGACCTGTTCTGTCAAAAGCAGATGCTTCTGGGCACAGGTTGAAATTGAGATAGGGCAAAAAAACACTGTGGTGTGATTTATTTTCCATTTTCAAATTTTTGCATATTTGTAATCCTGAACATGTCTAAAGTATACTATAAAAGTTTGAAACCCTAATTTGAACTCTAAATATATTTTTGATGATTTGTTAAGGTATATCAGTTAAAGAAATTACTGTTTTGAGACGTTAATGGCCATTTTCTCCGTTTTCTAATTTTCGACACAATGAACTTCAAAATAGCATAACTCTGCACAGGAATGACCAGTTTCAAAAATTAAGCCACCTATTTTAAGGAAAAAGAACATATTTTAACAATATGGAACAATCTCATTTTTGATCTTATGCCCAGAAAAGTCTGATTTTGACAGAACAGGTCACAATTGAGCTTGACAGGGGCGCATAGAGAGCGAGTTGAACGCATCGTAAGCGCGGGAAGAGCACAGTATGAGCTTAGCTTGAGCTTCTTTGAGACAGAAAGTTGTCATTTTCTTGCGTCCTCGCTGCGATTGTTAAATTTATGAAATATTTTTGGTCGCCGTAAGGTCTCCTATGAGATCGCATATAATGTGACAGTCCCTTTAGTGAAAGGCCTCCAGTCAAATGATAGTCAAAACATCATCACAAAACATCTGGGTCCTGGCTCTGATGTACATTATGCGCAGCTACTGGTAACCATCCATGGAACCGTGCTCCATGGTAAGGCTCCAAATAGTCGACTAGAGTAGTCCAACCATCCTGCGTTCAAGTGTTAAGTCACAATATGGGTAACCGTAATCTTTGCCCGAATGTGCTCCATGCTGATAAATCAATAAAACCACACAGAGTGTAGGCATTTTGGGAAATACAGCTAGTAACTGGCAGGGAGGTATGGGGTGATACAGGGACCAATGGGTGAGATGGAATCGCTGAAGTTCTTGATATAGCAGTATTACAAATATGGAAACCTGTTCAAATTACTATGGCATCAGATATCAGAGAAACTGGTGTACTACTCAGACACGGTTACAAATTGATGAAATTTCTCAAAAAAGCAGAGCAAATCCTTCTGATTTGTAATGATTTTTGAATTCAAAGAAATGCAGAAGACTTTTTGTTTACGATTGGGTTTTAGTATTACGGATATTTGGAGGTTTTTCACTCCATAAAGTAGCCCAAGTCTACGCAGTTTTGGAGCTGTCATTTATTTCATAATTCAAAGCATCAAGTCATTTTACAGGAACTGCAGTCTTAATAGCTATCCTCCTGATAGGAGGAAAGCTATCAGACAACATCCCCTGAAAAGCCAGTTACAAACTTTCATATGTATCAGTAATGGTCCACGTTTCTTACTGGATCCGTCAACAAGGTATCAAGAATGTTTCAGCTCTTGAGAAAGCTTTCACAGTTCAGTTCGACTACCTTCCGAACTGCTTGAACTCTGTAATAAATGGACTGAGTCAAAAACAAACTTTTTCAATTTTTTTTTCAAACTTACAGTCTCCACCACACTTGAGCGGCTTGCCACACGTATTCTTGCACGTCGGCACTGGATCCAGGCATGTCTTGCGGACTTCTCCGTGGGTTGTAAGTTCTGACAACTTGGTCTGACTGCAGGGACAGCGGGTGACCAGGTCAGGGGTCAGGGGGCATAGGTCACAGGGTCCAGGGTGGCAGGGTCGCTTGCAGGTGTGGTTGCCACAGGATAGGGTTCTAGGATGAAATGGGGATGTCTTTATGAAGTAAAAGGAACGTACTTCTAGTAGCCCGTACTTGTAGTAATGTTAGTGCAAAACCGACACGAAACCGAAATGGACCCGACCCGAAACCCAGGTCGGGTTGGTTTTTCCATCATGTCAGTTGGGTAGGGTCGGTTTGCGTTTGCGATTTTCGGGTCGGGTAAGCCATCTTATGAAAAACCCGAAATAAAAACAAACAAAAAAACCCCAACCAAACAGTTCGGTAATTCACAACGGTGCCATGTCATTGCATAGTTACTGTGCCCAGTTCAACCATACAGCAAGGAGTGGTACGACCAATTCAATCCACCGCGTAAATGTGCATGTGGTTTGCGGTTTATCACGCTAAGTCTATAACGTGTAGGTCCACCAGTAGGGAACGTATCAGTCTTCACCATACCGTACGGCATGATTCTTTACTGAGAGAAGACGATTTTCCCACGATGCAGGTATTAAGTTAAGGCACAAAAAGCAGACGCAGTTTCCCAAGCTGATATATTATTTTTTTTCAGGTTGATTCGGTTTTGGGTCGGTTAAGGTCAGTTTTTGCTTGAATTTTTGTTGGGCTGGGTCGGGTTGGATTTGGGGAGTTCAGATCGGTTTCGGCTTGGAATCGGTTGATATCTATAATGTTTTGTGTCCGTTTGGCCTGGTCAACCGGACCCGATGCATAACATTAGCATGTTGGTATTTTTGTAAAGAAGCTTTGTAAAGATCCCCCTGAATCCAACACAATAATTCATTAACAGAGTTTTTGTTCCTGAACAATATTAGAAAAAAACAAGAACTACTGTAAAACTACAGTACTTGCACATGCATATGGAGAGCAATTTTCTACTTACACATCGACAAAATGAACAGAATCCCTCATTGTGAAATAGAATTGAGATTTGAAACCAAGCTCTGATACCACATAGATAGAACTAAAATTTGAAAAATCAATTTTGTTTTACTACAAAATTGATGTTTTCAACCATAATTAACAGCTTCTCATACTTTGTTCTAAACATAATTTCTGTAGCACATTTTGATGAGCAATTTTCAGTTGTCATTCATGCATTATGAAATATGAAAACAATTTTTTTTTCACACTTCTTAAAGATAGGATAGATCATTTGTCATTTGTGCATTTTTTTCGCTTGAAGCCGAATTACAAACCAACTACTGACAGAAATTTCCAAAAATGCGTCACTTTACACATCTTTGGAAATGGCCTTCTTTTATTGGTTTCTTCAAAATGACAGCATGTCAGAAAGAATATTTTCATAGGGAGTTTAGTGCCATCCCCATCTTTTAACCAAGTAAGATTTTCGACAATAATTTTGTCAATTACATTTTGGATAGCTGTAAATGATTTGGTACTCTATCTTTAAGGTAAAAATGTAAATAAGAATAACCTCATTTAAATGAAAAAAAATGAAATCTTGTTTTCAATAATTTACCTATCGCAGACAGCTTGGCATGGGTACTGGGCTGGGCCTTCCTGTAGTAAGTTACCATCGTCACCAAGACTACACAAAACTACCTTGGAGTCCTTGCCACAATAACACTCTGTCAAATGGACAACACAGAATACCTTCAATATGTCCAAATATGTCCAAATACAGATCATGCCACGTGCAATGTCAGCAGCCAATTTCACAAAACTTTACGCAGTGGCATAATTCGCCTTGCGCCAAAATGTATTGCACAAGTCGTGTAACATTTCACGCTGCGCAAAAAATTCACTTACGACACATTTCACGAAAGTTTAATAGAGTGTTAGGTCCGTGACTGTGGCGTAACTTGCACAACCATTTTAGGTGGTGCAAGTTGTGGTGTAGCGCCTGCAAATGAACTATTTTACTAGCAAATTGTGATCGTTTTGGAACCTGTCGTTGCACAACTGATCAAGGCTGATACAAGACAATCATAGTTGTGTTTTTGAGGTAGATGACCATATATTTTAGTTGTGACAGCATTTTTAGAGTTGCTGCAAGACTCCAAAGGAACTCGGGCAAAACTATTTTCAAAATGGCGGGTGGAGGTGATTCAATGACTGTTTCGTGACCGAACAAAATCATACAGAAACAGCCGTTGAAAATGCTGCTATTATCCTCGTCCAAGATGAGTAGATTATTTAAAACATTGCGCAGCTGTGCCAATTTTCATGAAATCGATCGTAAGTTCATTGCGCAGATGCACAACAAAGTTGTTGCATAAGTCCTACACACGGCGTTAAGTTACGCATTATATATCTGCCACACATATCCTTGTCATTTGATTGGTGGAACGCACATCACGTGACATTCATTATTGCTCCCATTCACGCCGCGGCTCAAAAAGTCCCATTCGCCCATGGGGAAGGGGAAATATTATTGAACAGTTAGGATCATTCTTGTTCCATGATGCGGTATTTGTGTGCAAATGCATGCTGGTGTGCACGTTCAGCGTTGTGCGTAGCACGCATTATTCCAAAGAGCCAGCGCTACAGAGTTGGGTTCAAACATTTTCGTGAAGGGGTGGTTCGGAAGAGAGAAGTACATTTTCCACCAATTCTGTATTGAAATAAAAGTTCAAATATATCAAATGACAAGCATCTATATGTCAGTTATATAAAACAAATATTGAGTGGCTTTCAATTGTGAAATGGGAGGAATATTATCGCTCGGTAAAATCTGGACTTTTCCAGTACACTCGGCTTCGCCTCATGAAATGGGAAAGTCCAGATTTTACCTTGCGATAATATTCCTCCCATTTCACTCTGAGCCACACAAAATTTTTGTATACTGTTTAGTGAAATTTGTTGCAGAGCTGTCGGTTGCTGACACTGCTTGAATGCTTGGGTGGCTGCTGGACAATTGTATGACTTGTGTTTGACTTGTTCTGACCTAACAACAACTCTGGTAAACACCTTATGTACGTGCGTACCTTGCTTCATCTCCACCTCACACGGTTTGCAATCCCCCTCGTGGCACACCGCATCACACGAATGCACACCACAGTTGAGTTTCTTCCCGCATTCCGCCTGGCAGCGGATGACCTGCTGCGTGCCGCACCGCACGGTCTGCGACGTCTTCTTACACAGGCACGACTGTTTGATACTCGCCGGGCACGGCGGGCAGGGCCCCGGATGGCACAGGATGTTGCAGGTGTGCACGCAGTTGGTCTTGGCCCGCGCGCGGCGGCAGACTTCGCCGCAGCTGTGAGGCATCTCGCCACGGTGGTAGGGCGGGTCACGCTGCTTGCCACAGAAACACTTGTAGCCGTAGGGGATCAGGAGGGTGACGTTGCGGCACATGGGGCACTGCCAACCATCCGAATCTGCAAACCAAAAATAAATCCCACAAAATCCAGCACTGACAACAATGGCAAGTGCTTCCTACAAAACTGGACATCAAGTTCTATGCTAGTCTATTATCCCCTTGCACAGCAAGGGTCTACGGTATGCGAGCAGATTCGGCGATTAATAATGCAAAATGAGACTGTGTCTTGATCTCAAGAGTCTGACCATTCAGCGGGCGCCTTCTATCGGGTCTTCCGTAACCACTTGTTGTATTACAAAAAACATGGTAGCCAAATTGACAAATCAACAGCTTAGTCCACATTTCTGATCGAACAGACACCACAACAAATATCAAAATGTCTACCCAATTTTGAGAAAACTGCCTTTGAAAAACTTTTTTAGACCACCCTGTAGTTTACAAAAGTCCAACATGTATGCACATGCATAGCTCGGTAATGCAGCTTGGCGTTGGAGATGCGCATATATTGTTGCCCACGTGCCAATTGGACGGAACCTTACAGATCTGTCTCCTGATTGGCAACCCGAGCACCCGATTTCATGAAACTCATTGTAACCCTACGACGCGTCACAGCTGCGACGCATCCTGCGATCATTTCACAAAACACGTCGTAAGTGCAATGCATCGTAGGTGTATTTATAGCACAACTCGGTGACTGTGTTGTGTATTTAGTCAGCGTACAGTAAATAGTCGTCTGATATTCAACAAAGAGTCGTCGGATCTCCGCTTGAAATTTGTTAAAGCATAAAACAAAATGGTGGACGTGTGATGCAATTTTAAAGGAAAACAAGCTCTCAGTGGACTGTATAGCTACTTTGAAATTTCAGCTGCAATATTCCAGTGTTGCGACATGTCGCAGCGCTTCGCTCAATTTCATCTCCCAAGGGAGCAAAATAGCTGGGCATAAACTCTTACCTTCGGCCGCTGCAGCTGGGGACTTGGCCCACTTTTTGATGCACTTCAGGTGGAATACTGTATAGCACTCCTGGCAATTCCAGATGGGTGCCTCACAGCGCACCGTCTCACAGCACACAGTGCACTCATAGGCCCCCTCTGTCAGTTGCTCAATCATGGAACCGGTCTGTGTCTCCGTGCTGCCCTCGTACTTGGGACGATTCCGCACTTTGGCAACGTCATTTCTACAAGAATGTTATCGTGGAAGGAAATGTGAATACATCAATTTGAAAAACAAGAGTATCTATGACTTTTATTATATCAACAGTCTTTTGAGACAAACTTCGTTAAATTGTATTAAAATTTGCATAGAAACAAAAGTTCCAAAAAAAAGGAGAAGGGAATAATAATAACAAATCACTTCAACTTCAGAGCTAATCAGAGTTTTGAATTACAATGTGGTTTCGTAACCCTTGGTGCTCAGATAAAGGTCGGCGCGGACATCCAGGATTTTTTTAATTGGCTTTTCTAGCTCCCAGACCGATGTTCTTGAAACACAATGGTTCTTGAGTCTTGAGTGCTGAATGGTAACACACAGCAACCGATGAAAGCTGGTGTGCCAATGAATAGATGTTTTCATCGGATGACGTTACTCCGCATCGATCTGTTTTTGCAAGGATTTTTATTGGTAATCCTCCAAAATCCATCACTGTGCCAGTGTTTCCTAATGATGCTGAAAATGTACTGTACAATGCATGCAATCGACAAGTGTAATTTTCAACTCTTCAATATAGGTTCCATTGGCTCGTCTTTATATAAGGTAAAATATCATGCAAAGGTTACTGTAATTAGGACATTTACCTATAACTTTGCTTTGCTGCACTATTTTTACTCCTCCCCCTTCCCGAATTAGGGCGCTTGTCCGCATTTCTGCTTTCCACTGATGGGTTGTCATAGCGCCACCTAGTGTCAGAACTTCTACCACTGCTCTGATCGCGTGGCTCGTCGCCTTGATACGAGGGCGCACCACTGTGAAAATACGGCTGCTGCATCTGATGAATCTGACCTCTGAATGGAGCCCGCTGCGACCTCAACCCCCGACCTCTATAAACTCCAGCGACCCCACGCTGGCCGCGCGCTTCGAAGAACTCCGGCATATGGGGTTGGTTATGGTTGAAGTTGCTGTATTCGGCCAGAGGGGGCTGGAATGGGGGAGGCTGGAAATGTCCAGCCCCGAAATTCTGGTTGAAATTAGGGGCGTACCGGCCCCGCTCCCTCCTACTGAAAGGCCTGCTGCGGGAACCGCGGGGCCTGTACGCTGGCTCTGAGGAGACATAGTTCTGGGTGACCAGGTACGGCTGGTAGGGTTGGAAGTTTTGTTGACCGGTGTACTGGTATTGGGGCGCGTAGGACTGTGACTGTGTGGGTTGGAATTCAGGCGCTGTTTCCCGTAAGTTGGATTCGGCCATCGGAAATCTGAAGAGGAAAAGTGCGAAATAAAACATACAAACATAACATTTATCACGGTTAAGAGTAGATACTTTTTGAGGAGAAATTTAGAGGAAGTTTGTCTGAAGTTACTGCAGGATTTTACAGAATCTAGACATCTGAGGGAAATCTTTTACCTTTTTAACAGATGAGTAGCTTCCATAGTGAACATCAAGTGGAAAAACAGTCTAGATTTGAAATTCGGGGTAACACTACTTTTCAGGTAGCCCCTATGGTCACGCACTGGACTAAACTCTGTGCTCAAGGCCATACTTCCCTGACAGTGAAAAATTACTGAACGGATGTTCTTTTTTTTCATAGAAATTATTCCACCTCAAACTCGGCATGCAGGTTCACTTAGGCCAAACAAAAAAATACCTTTGGTTCAGGTCACCTGACCAACCCTATTTTTGAAAGCAATAAAATGCAACCCCCCACAATTTCATTTGTAATTTAGAAAAAAAAATTACAATATCGACTTCCAATCACAATTGGTCAAAATCGCCAATATCAGCAAGTAATTTTTTTCTTTCTGGTAATACCTGAAAGAAAAACATCATGGTCTAACATCAGTTTGCGTGTACTTTGAAAATGTGAACGTTGTACCAAGAACGCTTGGGTCCTTCGTCATGTAATCCTCATTGCAGTCAAAAAGGCTGGTCCGTGTGTCTCATGTTCCTCCATACACACACACGTGTGTGCAAGCAGTGCGGTATTGCGTGCCAGGAAAAATCCCAACGGCAATGTCTGTGCCCAAAAAGCAATTCTATTGGTTGATCACGAGTTACACGGCCGCACAGACTTTCGAGCCTAGGGACGCCATGCATCATGGAAACCGATTTTCGATGAAACTTTTGTTTGAAATTGTGGGAGAAATCATGGAGGCAAAGTGTCCTAATGATCTTTTTTTGAACTAAACGCTTTGAGGTTGCTGAAAGCAAATATTTGTTGACATTGCGTTAGCCAATAGGAAAATTTGTTAGGCGATATCATTACACCACGTGTGTTGTAGACTTCACATTGGATCGGACGGCCGCACGTCTTCTGTGGCTTTCGTTCGGTTCTCGTGCATGATCACGCAAGACTGCAATTTGCTCTAGACCTCCGAGAATGTGAACATTTTACAAAAACAAAAAGGAAATTTCTTCCAGTGAAATCTCAAAATGACATTCAGGGAATTCTTTGTGAAAAACCATGGGGAAGTTGACGACGATTTTTCAATTGATATCGCCGCAAGAGGCCAACCAAACGAACCACGGAGAAGCGTAGAGAACGTCGACACGACAGTGGTTGAACCATGTTCCTTGCTCTATGGTTGAACTTACGAACTTCTTATGATAAAAAATGTCATCAATCGCGAGCATTGCGAGTCGTTTCAATATGGTGGTCAATATGGCCGAAAATTTACAATTATGAGTTTTCAGTGCTATGGCTAGTTCTTGTGCCCGCTTATTCTCAATGCGAAGACCTAGACATAAGCTTTAGACGGAAGGTTTGGTAACGACCATTATATCACTTCTGCATAGATGCAATAGCTCATTATCGCAGGCAACACGTAGCTGTTTTGTGCAGTATCGTGAACTTTAGAACCGACATTGGCATTGCATTGCACGTTATGAAGTGTCAAAGTGCGTCTAGTGTGTTTCATGAAACAGTCGCTGGGATTTGTCATGATTGTTTGTCGCCGTGCAAATAATTCATGACGTTAAGCGCTATCGAATCCTAGTGTTATGTTTATGCATAGTTATGCGCTTGCACGCCATGGATTTTAATATCGTAGCCGAACCTCCTGTATAGTCAAGCTAAATGTCTCGGTCTGAGAACACGTGGAAAGAATATTGCTTCCTGAGAAAAGATTTCCGTATAAGGACGCCACTTTTTTCCAATAAATTTTCACCCAAAATGAGCTCTAAAAACACCCTTTTCATGAGATGTTTTCAGTTTTGCGTAGTCTCCTGGATTTGCCTTCGATAAAATCACGAGGTGAGGTAAAATTTAAGTTTTTGGATAAGTGGCGGAAAAATTCGGCTATCCGATCACCACTTTTTTCAATTAATTTTCTAGCGCCAAAAGTTACCTCTTTTATGGTTATTCCCTCCACTTTCCCTCCTCTACTCTCACCCTCTCCTTTCCTTAATTTCTATTTATCAATCAGTCACTTACTTCATCGAGATTCGAACCTCGGATGCTTGCTTGATACACGAGACTCTTAACCGCTAGTCTGCGCACGATCGCTGTTGCAATAATCAATCTTTGGACGTATTTGAAGTATCCATTGAAATAAACTAAATATTCATGAGAAAATAAATATTCATAATGACGTATTGCACTATCATTGGCCGGCTCATGCGACGTCTCATGCGACGTCATGGTAGTATAACGTAACGCTGTTCCAGACACTTCAATCAGTTTTGACCGGCTGCTTCAACTCAGATCTGCACTACATGTGCATGCAAAATGTGCTCCAAAAACACATTTTTACCAATTTTTTTTCACATGTCCACTCTTTCCTGGATTCCTCTTGGTTGAAATCACAAGGCGAGGTGAAAATTTTGATTTTTGGCGGCAGGTAAGTGGTGATCGGTTGGCCGAATTTTCCCTAAATGGCTTCCGTATACAGACCTCTTCCCGAATCTGGGACTGAGAAAAATTTTCAATTTTGTTAGGAAATACTTTGAAATTGTTCTCGACTCTCCAGACCTAGCTCTACTGAGTGGAGCGCTGAATTACGGGTACCCCTCCATACTAGCGCTCCACCGATTCACCATACTTTGGTAGCACCATCACAGTAGCATAGTCAAAAACCCACGCGAGGACAAAAAGACCCCAAAAAACCAGTAAAGAGATTACAAATGAGAGAGACAGTTATCCTGGATTGATCTATACATTCTTGACATCCCATGAGACCCCTTACATTGTTCCCAAACAGCGAACATTTTGGAAAAAAACAGGAAAATAGTCTGAAAACTTACAGTTCAATGTGTTTGCATGGAGGTTCAGTTCTTGAATTAGCTTGTCGCTGAGGGCGTCTGACGTGACGTCACCGTCGTTGCTCGATCGTGAAGAAAAACAAGTCGCGCTTTATCTGCGACTGTTTTGTGTAATAATACGTGCTCCTTGGGTGTGTTCAAAGCCCATACTGTCGTACGGCGCGGCGCGGATCGGAGCACGTATTATTACACGAAACAGTGGCTGATAAAGCGCGACTTGTTTTTCTTCGCGATCGATCGAGCAACGACGGTGACGTCACGTCAGACGCCCTCAGCGACAAGCTAATTCAAGAACTGAACCTCCATGCAAACACATTGAACTGTAAGTTTTCAGACTATTTTCCTTTTTTTTTCCAAAATGTTCGCTGTTTGGGAACAATATAAGGGGTCTCATGGGATGTCAAGAATGTATAGATCAATCCAGGATAACTGTCTCTCTCATTTGTAATCTCTTTACCGGTTTTTTGGGGTCTTTTTGTCCTCGCGTGGGTTTTTGACTATGCTACTGTGATGGTGCTACCAAAGTATGGTGAATCGGTGGAGCGCTAGTATGGAGGGGTACCCGTAATTCAGCGCTCCACTCAGTAGAGCTACTCCAGACCAAGTTGTACACAACTGCTGAAGTGGCATCTGGATACATTAATGAATAATGGTTATAATACTATAAACTTATTATCATGGAGGAACAAAGTAGTCTTCCTCCCTCTGCTGTCAGTATGGCAACCCGGAATTGTCCCCTTAACTTAAGTTACTTTTAAGCTTTGCACATGTTGCATGGCAAGTGTTCGCACCGAACATGGAGCCGAACATTTGTTGGCGTGGAATACATAAAAACTTATGCAGTTAAAATTAAATATCCCCATGTTTAAGCTAAGTACTAAACAGATAACAGACCCCTACACTGTCCCAACTTATCCGTACTTACCTCTCTTCAATAATGAATTAATCTTGTGACTGAATTAACAAATTGGACAGTTCGACATTGCACCACACTCACGACACTTCTGAAATTATGATCTCACACACGTTGCTGATATTGCGCCCTCTGGTGGCACCAGGGGATAGTCGACACCGCCAAAAATAATGTGGTATGAAAAAAAAAATACCAAAATAGTCTATCAAATATGCATGTTTTTTTTCAATATTTGTATCCATGCACCAAATAGAAAATTGCACGGGAGACCATTTTTCCCCCAAGTCCTTCAAGGAGTGGGACAGTTACCAGGGTTTTCAGGAAATGTCTATAAATTTCCACCAACAAACAAACAAAACTGAGTCTAAACACATTTTTCCTAGTATTTTATCACCATTATTCCATATTTTTTATTTGTTCGAGATATTATCATGTAATACATAATGTCAAGGTACCCCATACAAATTCCTTGTTAACACAATATCCAGAAAGACTGGACCATGTGTACTTGTCAAACACAAACATCACATTAATTAATATTTCTGAAACTACACTTACTGAAACAAACAATTATTACAAATATTAATATTACAAAAAAAATGAAGTGAACGAAGTTGTTCTATTATTTCAATAACAACTGTTTGCAGGTGCAGTAATTCGATTATACATTATTAAACAAAAGGTAATTATTGAAATTACAATACACGTATTCACTGAAATCAAAAATTTCCCAAATGAATTACTTACAATTTTATCAAGGAATTTCTGAAAACCACCTTTGGCTTCATGCAAATCAATTAAGACAATAAAATGATTGATAAAGTTATATTCACAAATTGTTTATTGCAGTCATCGCATTGGCCAAATACTCCAACATTCCTAATTAAGCAAAAATTGATATTATATTGATAATCAACTTGGCATTACTTGATAATTGCTTGAAAGTAAAAGGCATCAATGTCTTAAATAAACAATTCATTAAGAAGACAACCAACAGACCAGAAACTTCAGTGTGCAAGGGCACTATCAATCAAAAATCAAATTCCAATGTTAAAAGTTTGCATCATAGTTATGCAAATGTTAACTTTAGATTTTCCCCAAACAAATTTGGTCAGTGTAGAGCAAAACCTAATTATGACACACCTAATAAAATCTAGTTTGTCTTCGCAAATTATTTTACTGTTTTGCAAACAAGATGACTGACATTAAAGACAAGAGACACACAGAACCCAGATCTCTTTCCTGATTGAGCGAAATCTCTAATTACCTGGAAAAAATGTGGTTTTCTACGAACTGCTTGTGAGGCTTAGATAATACGCTATGAGAGTTTTTTTTTCGTTGATAATTTACACAACAGCTGCCAAAATTGTGGTGTCCCAATAGTCAGCAGTAAAAGAGTGTAAATTGGTCTCCAGTAGAAAAGTTGATCATATTTCTCAATGTCCCAATTTCAACGTAATTTTTTCCCCAAAGCCGAACAAAGAAAATGACTGGAGTTGGGTTTGAACCTGCGACCTCCGGATTGCCGTTCCAGTGCTCTACCAACTGAGCTGTCCAGCCCTATGTTGGCGGTTCCCCATTTTGTCAATATCCTTGTTCAAGGGGCGCTAGTCAGAAGCCATGAACCCATATATGCCATGCAGCCAGGGATCACGCCCAAAGTCACGATGCTAGCAACATTAGCAACGCTGCAAACCTGGGAAATAGCAAACGGGGATCACTCAGAGAGGATATGGCTTTTTATCACAAACTTTCAAAGAACCCACGAAACTGACTAGGTGCATTGTAATAATTTAAAAAAACAAATTTGTAATAATTTTTGTTCAGTTTCTACATGAGCATCATGACACTGAGAAACCCTTATTACAATATGCAACAGAGAAAACTTCTCAACTGAAGCATTATGTGACTGCATTTCACATACTGAATTAAGGTCAACATGACTTGATCCATCAAGGGTTACACTCAAAATAAAGGCCTCAAATTTGTTTAAAGGGAGTGTACAACATTTGCTTTTGCTGCAATTTTCAGAAATAAATGGAATGAAGGATTAGTATGTTGTAGCAAATATTGTTACACTGAATTGTTTCACGTTTGGGTCAGTAGTGCTGGAAAAACCAATCATATTCTTGTAGTCTGGTTCCCTGCCCCCACTTTAGATCAAACAGAGCAATTGATTGATTTTGGGGAATTGTAAGATCAGAGAATCAGTCTAGCAGGCTTGTAGTCTTTACAGGTGTGTAATCAATTGCAAAGAAAATGCAGATGCACTAAATATGAAAAATTAGGAACACTTTTTGAAAAAAGCCAGTTTTCTCCAACGCTACAGTTTTGCTTGAAAATGTCAGCACACCAGAAGCCACAACTTTACAGGATGCAAATAGACTGACATTCCCTAACAATTCAGTAAGATATCTCATGATAAATTGATCATTTCGTTTTTGATGTTTGCAAATGTTGTATCTTCCCTTTAACAATTTCCTGTACTTACATCAAACAAACACGTTCGTCGTGCGTTGAAGATTTATATTTGCGACCATCACTGCCACGTTGGTCACATCGTATTTAAAATGTAAAAAAAAAAAAAACAACCCCAAAACCCCCAAAAACCAGGAAAAAAATAATATGTTGTCAATTGAGGGCACTATTGATGACACGGGTTGGCGACAGTTTTGGTTGACAGAGGGAGCTGTTTATGATAATGGATCATGGTGATTGCTAGAGGGCGCCGTTGCATCTTATGTGACGCGGACCTTCATCTGCTTCATGCCGGGGTTCAGGCGCTTGCGCATGTCCTTGCGGTACTGCTTCTCCTGAAAACAAAAATCCAACAGATGAAGTAACGTTAATGCAAATTAATGAGTTTGCTGAACAATGATGGATTTTGGAAGATCCACGAAGGTAAGGCCAGGTAAAAAAAATAAACCAGCTTCTCGTTCCTGCCTGCTTCTGTTTTACTGCCCGCCTCCTATTTTTTTTTAAGTCATAGGCCTACATCTGCAATATATTTTGCAAATATATTGCCACTGTATTTTCTTTTTATTTGTTTCCAACAATATTATGGCTATGTAGAAAGGGTTACGGCTGCTTTGGACACAATTTTATATCAGCAAACAAGTCGAGAAAATGGAAGAATCCATCAGCAATAATGGAAAATCTGCCATCTTAGGGGAAAAAAGCGCCCGCCTCCTTCATTATTCCAAAAAGCCCAGACGAGAAACTATTTTATTCTTCTACTCGGCCACACTAGTAAGCTTGACATCTGAATTAGGGCTAGGGCCATGTCACACAAGGCAATTTACAGGCAAATTGTTCCACAAAATCTCCAGAAAAAAGGAAATGACAGGCAAGTTATAATTCTTTATAAGGTTGTAAGGGATTTCCATAAGCTGATGGAGAAAAGTACATTGTTCCTCCACAGCTCACTGAGCCTCCAATGTGTCAGTGTTACTTGGCCCTTAACCCACTGCATTAAGTTGTTGCTGAATCCATCAAACCATAGAGCAGGTTTAGGCTGCATTATGGAGTAACAAGGAAGTACAGGAACCAAATGGTTAAACATAAGCACAATCCCGTAAGCTGATGTAAAACTCCTTACCTCCAGCTTGCGTGCTTTCTCTGGGTCTTCCTCGTTCAGCAAGCGGTCTTTCTCGACCCGTCGTTTCTCCTCCCGGCGTTGCTGGGCCGCCTCCTGGCGCTGGGCATGGGCCAGCTTGACGAAGGACTCGGACACTTTAGCACGGGCCTTGTCTGCCTTCAGCTTGGCCTGCAAAGGGACGACAGAGGTATAACTCAATCATTAGGATTGGTCAAAGACAAACTTTCAGACCAGCGACAGACTCATACTATTTCAGACTGGAGTCTATGTTTAAGTTGAGTCCATCACAAGTCCTGTTACAAGTCTGGTCACAAGTAAATCACCAGTGTTGTAGTACCCGTACTTGGTACTCTTACTCGAGTACTACTCGAGTACTTTTTCAGAGTACTCGTACTCGTACTCGAATGTCAAAGTACTTGTACTCGAAATGATGGTACTCGTACTTGGACAGGAGAGTACTCGTACTCGGGCAGCAAAGTACTCGTACTCGACATGTCAAAATTGTACTCGATCATGGAAGTACTCATAATCGAATAGCAGTACTGGAGAAAAAAATGGTATAGCTTGACTTATCACGGCCTTATTTTATCGATGCTTTCAGTCTGAAATGGTTGATTGGCTTGCGGAGAAATCAAAGTTTCCTGATTTTCCTCTGTGCACGTCCAGACAAACACATTTAACAGCTAGCCGTGAATGGGTCTGTATATCGGTCTGACTGGGCCTGGGCCAATTACGCACAATGAACCATTTGCCGTGTGGCCGTATTCCGAAATAGAAGTACTCGTACTCGTACTCGGAAGAACAAGTACTCGCACTCATACTCGGAAGTACCAATACTCGTACTCGTACTCGGAAGTAAAAGTACTCGTACTTGGAGACCTGTACTTGTACTCGGAAGTACTTGTACTCGTACTTGGTAACCTCGGTACTCGGCAGTACTCGGTACTCGGAAAAAAAGTACTTGACTACAGCACTGTATATCGGAAGTCCATTCACAAGTCCAGTTGTAATAGTGCTGTGCTCTTTCGGATAATTTGGTCATTCCATTATCCTAACTTGGACTTGATTGCATATTCGAATATTCAAAATGCACCAGGCTCCCGGTCTGTACATTATTGATACCGATTGTGGGGTGGGAACCAGCCTACCCGCGAGAATGAAATTATTGTCTGTCAGCCAATAATTTGCAATGTGTGAAGACATAATTCAATAACTTAATATGGGCTGTTTTTTTCAGTCGATGTCTCATTCAAAAGTGAATAACTTTTGTATTGCTAGAAAAAGAGCAATTCAGAAATGGAATCTATATATTGGGATGAAACTCGCAAATAGCACGAGGAATGCACAGTTAAGCCTCACAATTTTCACAACAAATGGGCTCAAACATTAGCAAAGCGATTAGAGGAACAGTCTCAACTCTTTCGCTACGGCGAGCCGCTGACAGCGGCACACAAAAATTGTACATGTCGTACAGCAAGCCGCTGGCAGCGGCTCAGTGACGTCGCTGTGAATAAACAGGGTATCCCCATGACGTGTGCCTTATCTACATAATTTATATCGTATAACCTCTGACCCTAGTTTGAGCCGCTGCCAGCAGCTCTCCGTCTCGCCGGGGTCTGCTGCACGTTATTGTGAGCAGTTTGTTTACAGAGAGACATTTCAAGATGGCGGCGTCCACATCGACACACGGCGGAATTTCCAGCGGTTTATTACGTCCAAACGTGGAAAAATCGGTAAATTAAATTCCGTAGCGAAAGAGTTAATGAATCAAGCACAATATCAGTCCTTGACAGAGAAGACATAAATGAATTGTGAAATTGTTTACCAATCTGCAAGCATTACCTCGCGGCTGAGCTTGTATCTCTTGACCTTCTCAATGCAGTACAAGACCATCTTCATCATGGGCAGCATGGACTCCATATCCACCTTAGTGCAACGGGCACCTCCAGGTACTGGGAACCAGACAATAACAATACCAGAGTGTCAATTTACAGTTGGAAAGTAGAAGTTACTGTCACCTCCCATCCTGGATTGGAAGCTGTGATACGTGGGTGAGTGTTGCCTAGTGGTTAGGGTTGGTAACTCACGACCAGTGGGACAGGGGTTCGAACCCAGTCATTGATCATATGTTGTGTCCTCTGGCAAGCTGCTTTACCCCTATTTGCCACTCTTCACTGAGGAATACATACTGTAAATGGGTGCCAACACTAGCAACTGCCTGGCATGTCACCGTATGAGAGTAGAAATACTCTCAAATCTTTCTTGCTAGTGTGACGAGATATTACCAGCAGCCAGATAAGGCAAACAAAAAAAGGTCTCCCGTTTCTGGTATGGAGCTTGCCCCAAAAGTGGTGCGGCAACGCAGCTTTTTTTTTTTTTTTACTGTTTTTTCTTCTTCAAATGTCGGCTGATGACTGCAAATGGTGCCCGACTAAATTTAGTGCAAATATATGGGAGTCCAGTGAGGCCACATAAAGCTCATACTTGATTGTAACCCCACCTAAAAACATGTTAAAATTGTGCAGCAACAGTATTCCAGTCAAACAAGTGAGTTTGGCGGTTTTGAGACATCATCTTACATTGAAAAAAAAACAACTTTCATTTTGGCCGACGCGCATGGCTACAGCGACGCGCGCGCATACCAGAAAACGGAGACTTTTTTTTTTGGACCTAAGCTACTTTGGCTTGAAACTGACTTCATTTTTGCTACAGGCTCCCTTAGAGCGAAATAGTTAACAATATATTTTTAAGAACAAATGTCCATTTCTCATCCATTTGCTACTTTCTGCAAGGGTAAGAGCATCTAGTACTATCATCTGGTTCAAAGGGTGTGATTGGAGAAAACTGAAAAATCCACAAAATAATCAACGGGGGTTTTGAGGGTCACTGAGGGCCCAGAGCAACATAAGGTCATGGCATATGTTTGTATTTGGGTCATTCCATCAATTTGGGGTCCAATCTTTTGTGCCCCTGTTAAGTCTGACATGTATAAGAGATTGTAATTCCAAGAGTGATTATGTAAAGCAAAGTACCTGCCAAACAAATAAAACATGGTGTGAAGTCAATTTTAATGATTTAATGGCAAATTACACAGGTCAGGTGCAACAGGGACACTAAAAATGTCACACTTTTGGACCCTGAATTTATTAAATGACCCATTTGCCTATTAAGGCACCCCTTTATAAATACCAAATATTTTGGGTTCTCTTTAAACTATTGTAGATAATATAAAACACCTTTAACCCCAACCCCCTAGGCCCTTGTTGCTTACAACCATCCTCAATCCTCCAAAATCCTCCAAAATTTTGCAACTCCGCCTAAATTTTTCAAAAATGTCAGACAGTCCTGCCTCAAAATGCATTCATCCTCAATCCTCCAAAATCCTCCTCATCCCAAAACTTTGCACTCGTGTTTAAATGAAGGATAACCAACGCCAAATCCTTCAAAATCATCAGACAGTCCTGCCTCAAAATGCATTCATCCTCAATCCTCCAAAATCCTCTTGTGCTTCAATCACCATTCATCCTCAATCCTCCAAAATCCTCATGTGCTTCAATCACCATTCATCCTCAATCCTCCAGAATCCTCATTTGATTCAATCTCCATTCATCCTCAATCCTCTAGAATCCTCCAAAACCGCCAGGAGGATTTTGGAGGAGTGAGGTGGGTTAGGGTTATTAAGGTAAAACCTCAGGAGTTCCAATTTTTAAAAGGGACTATTTAAATATCCTGAAATCAGGGAAAAAACCTGAAAATATCCTAAATTCAGGACAAATCCTGACCAATCTCCCCCTGCTATAGTGCTCACCTTTGAAGCAGAAGATGAGTACTTTCTTGGTGTCTGGCATCTTGCTTGGTTGCTCATCACTGTCATGTAATCAAAGCATGAAACGTGAATACTCATTTCTAATAGAACTTGAGTGCAGTGACGGACACATCGCTTAAAGGGTCCAGAAATGAATTTATAGGAACATGTTTGCAGCAAATATCCATTCCTCTGAAATGTATAAAAACTTAGAGACATCCCTAAAAAGTTATGCAAAGTGCATTTTTTTTTTTAAACATTTGGATTGTTTCGTGCTTTTCCTGCCAACTGAGGGCGCTGTTGCTGTGATGTCACTTTAGGAACACATTCTTCACGTTTGTGTTTTTCTCTTCATAGTATAAACCCAAAATTCTGCATAATGAAAACATTTGCGCATAAAGTTTTCTGACTGTCTTACTGTTATGAACCACTGAAAGCAGAAAAATAACCACAGCAAACCCCTAAAATTCTGGTGACTTTTTATGCCGAAGCAGATGGGAAACTGAAGTGTCTGCCTTGAACGACATCACAGCTTTGCTCATGAATATGGAAATTTGCATTAGCATAAAAAACAACAAGGCACCAAAACGCCCTAACAATGGCAATATGAAGATTAACAAGTCAGGTGTGTTTACAAACACAAATGCCCCGCAACCGTGACTGTTTCCATGACATAACACCACTCTAACATCTACTTACATGTACCTTGGTCAAATGGAACGTTCATTGACAGCATTAGTGTCTTCTGTAGGTTTTATATGAATTAATCCCTAATCCCTATGATCTCAGAATAAATACAAGATTTCTATTGTTTTAGCCACTGTGACCTTGACCCTTGACCTTTTGACCCCCAATGCGATAGGCTTCTTAGGATTGCCAAGGACAATCCACAAACCAAATTTGAAATTCATATGTAAAGTATTTCTCAAGTTATCGCGCTGACAAAATTTCTATTGTTTCAGCCACTGTGACCTTGACCCTTGACCTTTTGGCCCCAAATGCAAAAGGCTTCTTAGAATTGCCAAGGACAATCCACAAACCAAATTTGAAGTTCATATGTAAAGTATTTCTCAAGTTATCGCGCTGACAAAATTTCTATTGTTTCAGCCACTGTGACCTTGACCCTTGACCTTTCGGCCCCAAATGCAAAAGGCTTCTTAGGATTACCAAGGACAATCCACAAACCAAATTTGAAGTTCATATGTAAAGTATTTCTCAAGTTATCGCGCTGACAAAATTTCTATTGTTTCAGCCACTGTGACCTTGACCCTTGACCTTTTGGCCCCAAATGCAAAAGGCTTCTTAGAATTGCCAAGGACAATCCACAAACCAAATTTGAAGTTCATATGTAAAGTATTTCTCAAGTTATCGCGCTGACAAAATTTCTATTGTTTCAGCCACTGTGACCTTGACCCTTGACCTTTCGGCCCCAAATGCAAAAGGCTTCTTAGGATTACCAAGGACAATCCACAAACCAAATTTGAAGTTCATATGTAAAGTATTTCTCAAGTTATCGCGCTGACAAAATTTCTATTGTTTCAGCCACTGTGACCTTGACCCTTGACCTTTTGGCCCCAAATGCAAAAGGCTTCTTAGAATTGCCAAGGACAATCCACAAACCAAATTTGAAGTTCATATGTAAAGTATTTCTCAAGTTATCGCGCTGACAAAATTTCTATTGTTTCAGCCACTGTGACCTTGACCCTTGACCTTTCGGCCCCAAATGCAAAAGGCTTCTTAGGATTACCAAGGAAAATCCACAAACCAAATTTGAAGTTCATATGTAAAGTATTTCTCAAGTTATCGCGCTGACAAGATTTGTCCGGACACACACACCCACACACCCACCCACCCACCCACCCACCCACGGAAGGACAAGGCGGAAACAGTATGCCCCTTCGGCTTCGCCGCGGGGCATAAAAATTAAGTTAAATGGAACACAAAGGTAGATTTCAAGGATTGCATTTAAAAAGAATTCCATTAGGTGGGCATGCACCATGCCACTAGATTTATCAGCAGAATATGAAAGATACTGCAAACCTCTAGCACTTTTATATCAGAGTAATGAACCTAAGTGTGTACACCAGGTGAAAATGTCAGTTATGTTACATTCAATTTTTGTTTCATTGATGGTGTTATGCTTTGATCCATGGGCCTTATTCACGAGTCGGCCATATTGGACTGAGAGTGAGGAAAAATCTTAATTTTTTGAACTTGTGTAGAGAAATGAAAGCAATGACGTTACAAATTAATACCAGTCTGCTCTGATGAATCATGTAAAATTTGTGATTAAACATACCCGAATGTTTTTAGCCACATTTAAATAAACAATGAAAGTGAGGCTACAGAGAATAAATAGTCTGGCACCATCCCATTCAACAATTCACAATTTATGAAATACATTCAGGGAACACGACAAAATAGGCCAACTTGTGCATAAGGCCCATTATTGAGAAACCACTACAGACAGTTCATGGGCGGATTGCAATAACTGGTCTTAAAGCTGTCTATGCGCATGAGACAGTCTTAAAGCTCTGGCTGTCAGTCAGTCTATAAGTTAGACCATTGCAATGACACGGTTTAAGTACTAAGACTTAAAATAGTCTATAATCTATAGTCTGGCTTAAAATGGTCTATAGTTGGGATTTTTGGAATTCATTCGTGTGTTGAATTATTCTTTCCCAAAATGTTATTTTTTCAGTTGATGAGTGTTTGATAATCTTAAAATAGCAGAATACTGCTTGGAGGGAAAATTCTCTGGGATAGAAGAAATCTTCTAGAAACATGAAATGACACTGAGTTGTACTGCAAATACAATTTTCTCAACATAAAATTTTGGAATTGACAGATTTGATTTCGCATGATTTGAATCACACAAACCGAAAAAAAAATCGTGCAGTCTCTCCAGTATTCGCCCGTAACCATGGAATGTTTGTTTGTGAATCATTACTCTAAGCGGGCGTAGTAAAGCTTATTGCTTATTGCAATGGGCTAAGTTTGGTGTCTTAACCAAGACCGTCTAAGAACAATAGCCGGCTAAAATCGGACTGGTTTAGCCAGCCGACTAAGACTGCGTTATTGCAATCCGCACCCCTGGCAGCTCTAGCTGCTTTTGACCACCACAATCAACAGATGTTTACACATTATTATTAAATAACCACAGAAATGACAGGACTATCGAACACTTCTAAATTAAATAGTTATAATAGCTTACTCTGCGTTTGGCTTGAGACCAGAAAATTGGTCTGAGAAGTGGAGGTACTCAAACATGTCCTCATACTGGCCCAAACAGCTGCTGATCTGTACAAAAAGGGTGAAAGAAAAGCACATTTCAAAAATGATTTCTTAGTTAAATTACAAAACTGCACTTGTGATGCATTCTGGCAAAGTAAGACGGAACTGGGCGCAGGCTGCAGTGGAGAAAAATGCAAAAAACTGAATGGAGGTTATTTTTTTTCATTTTCAGATTTGCTGATATTTTGATCTTTAAAAAAACACCATATGATCAGCTACAAGAAATATACATCATATGACATTCATTTTGGCTGGTAACCTGTTGAAGCAACACTTTTTGGTGCTTAGTAGGTTTGGTTGCCAACTTTTTAAGACTTTGGCATGTCTAAATCATTGCAGGTCGTAGCCAAAGACTGTGGATACGGCTTTTACCTTTCCATCAACGACTCCCTGGATGACCTCAGCAGACTCGGCAAACACCACGCTGGACGATGGCAGGCCGTACTTCTCACCGCTACGTTTGTCTTGGCAATACTGACTCTGAAATTACAAAATATGATGACAAATCTCAAACCTTTAACCAGCATGAGAGAAGTGCAATGTGTTACAGAGATTAGCAATAGACTTTTGCCATTTCAAATTGAATGCAAGGTGAACTCTTCATTTTTGGAACATGCGAGTAGAAATGAAAGCAATGAAATAAAAGTTCATTACTAATTAATACCAGTCTGCTCTGATGAATAATTTAAAATGTGTGATTAAACATACCCTAATATTTTATACCAGATTTAAAAACAAAATTGAACGTGAGGCTTGGAATGCACTCCAATCAGGAAATAGTCTGGCACCATCTCATTCAACAGTTTACAATATATAAAATAGAGTCAGGGAACACGACTGAAAATGGCTTGCTCGTGATAGGTAATCACACTTGGTACGGACTCCTTGCGCAAACAGTAGTTGAATGCTTTTCGACCACTTTCGAGAGCTCCGGTGGAGGTTTGTGCCCGTATGGTACGAAGTATAGACAATTCTTTTATTCTAAATATGCAGAAAACAGTTGCGTCCTCGTCTGAGGAAACCACTGCCAGGAATACATTTGCATGTGTCTCCTATCCTTTAGTAAGCACTGGGGATATTTGTGCACTGAGTCAATTTTGCTAGGAACCAGCCTGACTTCTGCAAGATCCTCCACTATGCAAGAAAGTCAATGCTTAATTCTCTGCACTGTAATTACTGGGCTGTATATTTGTCAATCCGTGCTTTTGATTTCAGCTGCACGTAATTTATGGAATCATTTACCACCTGATATCCGTAATTTGCAGTCACACAGTCTGTTCCAATCTAAACTCAGAAGTTTCCTTTTTCGGAAGCATTTGGTGATGTGTGACGTGCTGTTAAGCTCATCTGTTTAAGGTATTTTTTGTGTCCCTGTGTACCTTTATGCAAATTTGTTTAGGAATTCTGATGTAATTTTAATGGCTTCAGGTGTTTTTGATTTAAATTTTATGCTAACTTGTATGTCTCATTTTTATTTACGAATATTGATGTACTTTTAATGGCTTTTGGCGTTTTGGATTTGAATTTATGCTAACTTGTCCACTTGTATCATTTTTAATTAGGAATTTTAATGTAGTGCACCCTGGAACAGGCTGGTCCTGGAGAGAGCACAATATAAGTTCAACAAATTATTATTATTATAATTTAAAAATCCTCCAAATCTTTCTCGTCATTTTGAGAGGGTAAGGGTCAATCTGTGCCCCAACAAAGAGACAGCACACAAAACATATATCAGTCTCGCTTCATGTGAAGGCCCACAGTAACCTCTATCAGACTACTAACATAGAGGTCCACATGCACAAACTAGATATGTCATCCTTGCAGCCTACCATAAAATGGGGGTATCCCTGCAAGTTGGGGTACTTACCAAATCTTGCATGTCTTTCTGCATCTTGGAGGCAATTTTCTTCCTGCCAGCGAACAGAATGAAGCTGTCCATGTCCTCACTGTTCATTGTTACAGTTATTAACTGTTGGAAACATTTGAAAAGGGGGTTTAAAAAATTGGCAGGATTCTGAACATACAATACTATTTTGTTCAGTATTTTATCAACATTTACCACCTTTTAGGGTTGGGGTTTATTTACAATAGGGATTTTAATATGAGCACTCCTGAAATTATTAAGTACAAGAATAATGTTATGCTTACTATTTCGTCGGATCCTGGCTTCATCAGCTTGGCCACCACACTCACAAGATCCTGCCTTTTCAGGAGCTTAAAAAATGACCAAAGTGAGAGAAGATTAAAAAGACTGATTACACTTGAAAGTAAATATTTGTTAGCATGAACATGAACTTCTTCATCATGGCAGATATACTTAAATAAATTAAGCAATGTCGTATATTTCTGTTGATTTAAAAACTGATGGCATTTCTTTGATAGTCAAATTGAGATTTGAGAATGTCCATTGAGATTTGATTTTGAAAAAAAAACCACCAATCATCATAAAGGTGTCTTGGCAGATTGCCAATATTCAGAATGAAGGTGTCTTGGCAGATTGCCAATATTCGCATGAGAAAAGTGTACTCCAGCTGGGCAAATGAAAGTTTTTTTGAGGTTTCCTCACTTTTTGTTGTGGCATTTGTGCATCTACAAGGCATAGTTGTGTACAATTCCAATTATGAGCAACTTTGATCAAAAACGTTCGGCTTAAGCCCGGTTCATACTCGGCGCGAAAGCAAAAGTGAACGCGAATTTGTGACGTCATGGCAAGTATTTGCGCTCGAATTCGTAAAAGTTGAACACATTTCAACTCGGGCGATTTTCGCAGCGAATGTTTCATGATGTCAAATTTGCTTCGCATTCGCTTTCGCATGAAGTATGAACCGGGTTTTACTAGTGGCTAATTCACGTTCAATATTATACTTGCAAATAATTATTAAATTATGTGAGAAACAATGGTCATACACATTACTTCTCTATCTTGTCTCCCTGCTGTGCATTTTAATGCATGGGAAATTTGGTAGCCAGCATCGTTGACTAGCCAACATTTGATGACCGTTAGTCAAACAATTGTTAAACATTGTTCTTCATCACACTTGCTTTTGGGGTTTTGATTGTCCTACCTTGAGTTCCACCAGCATGCCTTCACAGCAGCTCCTGCCTGAACACCAGAGGCAGTATCGGCTCTCGCTCTCCTTGAGTAGCTGACCCGTCACTGGGGGGTCCTTCTGACTACCGTCATCACCTGAAAATATATGACATCATGTAACATCTTCATGAATATTTATGACCAATGCATATTTATGAGAAGCAGAGGCAGTATCGGCTCTCGCTCTCCTTGAGTAGCTGACCCGTCACTGGGGGGTCCTTCTGGCTACCATCATCACCTGAAAATAGATGACATCATGAACCATCATAAGACTTCATGAATATTTATGACCAATGCATATTGATGAGAACCAGAGGCAGTATCGGCTCTAGCTCTTCTTGAGTTGCTGACCCGTCACTGGGGAAGGGGGGTGGAGAGAAGGGGGGCGGAGGGTCCCTCTGGCTCCTGTCATCACCGAGCAAGAGTCATAGAAATCAGCAAATATTCTACTGATAAATACAACATCATTTTAACTTGTGGACTACAAATACTTATTTTGATTCAGCATGTCTAATAGCCTGATTGCACATAGCTGGCAATGGTATAAGGCTGACCAACTAAGTTTCACAGTATAAATGTCAAACGTACAGGTCCAGCTCAAATGGGCAAGCCCAGTCTTAAAGGTAATATACGCAATTTGCTTTTGCTGTAATTTTCAGAAATGTATGGATCTGGGTACAGTATTTGACAGTAAATATTGTTACACTGACCTGTTTAAAGCTTTGTATTCATAGATGCTGGAAAAATCAAGAAAAAAACTGCTGTTCTTGTAATCTGGTTCCCTGACCCTATTTCAGACGAAATGGAGCAATTTATAGACGTCGGGGTCAGGGGACCAGACCAGCTGGCTTGCACCCATCAACGGATGTGTAAGCGAATACAAACAAAATGTGGACTGACTAAATTTGGTAAAGTGAGGGCAGTATTTGAAAAAAAGTCAGTTTACTTCCAGTGATGGTCGGCTGACCATTGTTAGAAATTGATACAAAATTCCACTTTTCTTGAAAATGACAGCACACCAGGTGCTATGATTTCACAGGATGCTTGAGACTATTATTCACTTATAGTCAAGTAAGGTATTTCATAATAATTTGGTAGTTTTTTTTTCTATGTTTGCAAATGTTGTATACTATCTTTAAGTTTATGTAACAGGCCACCATATGTAAAGTGGCCAGGGTGGTGCACAGTTGACAAGTGACTTACCGACTAATGCAAAATTTGACTCCAGCAGCTCCAAATGCGAATTCAACCTGCGGAGGAAATATTTCGAACATTACTCTTCACCAATACTCTTTCAGGGTTAGTGCTACAAAATAAACTCCAATTATAAATGGAGTGATTTTGGGACGTTCAATCTCTATCACAATAGTCGTACATTGTATTACTGTGCAGCTATCACCACGCAAACATCATGACCTTGATACAAAGTGTGGTCTAATATAGTACTGCTATACCACAATATAAGTCAGGCCAGCATTTATCTTTGGTTTCCTTGGCATGAAACGACTGAGAATATATGAGGTGTTCTGGCAAAATGTGACGGAACTGGGCACAGGCCGTAGTGGAGCAAAATGTAAAAAAAAAAAAAAAATTGTAGGTGATCATTTTTTCAATTTTCAGATACATTGAACTTTGTAATCTTTGATATGTCTACTACCATCATGGGTTAAAAGTGTTTTTCGTTGAGAAAACTGGCATCTTTCATTTTCACAACTACAAAACTCGAAAAGCCTTTTTCTCAGTATTTTACTTTTTGACATGTTGATACATTTGAACTTTAAACAGCCATAACTTGTCAACAGATGTCTGATTCAAGTGCAACAAACACCATTTTAAGGAGAATTTTATTATCTTTCCTCATACCCGCAAACCCTCATTTTGACCTCTGCCCAGTTCAGTTTATTTTGACAGAACACCTCACATGTTTCTATTCCCCAGGCTACTCCCCAGCTATGCAGGTATCCATTTATACTCCTGAGAGAGGCAAGTGGGGGTGAAGTGGCTTGCCCAAGGACACAATATATGGCCAGCAGCAAGATTTGAGCCTCTGACCCTCTGATCATGAGTTACGAACCCTAACCACTAGGCCACACTCCACCTTACTACAATCCTGCAAAAAATCATCAAAACCTTCTGTTCGGGACCACAGTTTATGTCATTACCGTCATCAGTATTAATGTGACTCACCATGCAGTTGAGAGCTTCTGGTTCTTGCTCTTGCCAGTGACATAGTTCAGAACGTAGGCCAGGATGCCCACAATCATCAGAATCTCCATGTAGTAACTGTCCCAGTTATTGCGCAAGTGCATTGGCAGCTGTGAAATGACAAAAAGAAACCAGTGGCCCAGGTGCATTTGTAATTACAAAGTCAACAGTTTTCCATTTCACAGTGTTGTTGAGGTACTTACGATGGGTCACAACCAAAGATCTTATAGCGCCGAAGGCGCAAGATGGGGAACTCCATAGAAATTGCGAAATCGTCATGGACACCATTGAGGTAAGCACACCATTGTGCAAACCATTGTTTGCACAATGGTTTGCTTCGAGTAAGCAAACCATTGTGCAAACAAATGGTTTGCACAATGGTTTGCTTGCTCGAATGGCGTCCATGACGATTTCCCAATTTCTATGGAGTTCCCCATCTTGCGCCTTCGGCGCTATAAGATCTTTGGTCACAACACAAGTCCAGTCACAAGTCCAGAATTAACAGGGGATGAACAATAACAAAGGAATGCCTTTGACACGCTTCGCTTGAATAGCTTGTGATTGACTTGTGATTGACTTGCGATTGACTTGCGATGGACTTGTGATTAACTGGTGATGTACTTGTAATTGTCTTGTGATTGACTTGTGATTGACTTGTGATTGAGTTGTGATTGAGTTGTGATTGTGTTGTGATTGACTTTTGATGGACTTGTGATGGACTTGTGATGGACTTGTGATTGCTCAATGATCCAAGACAAGTATGTCGACTGTATTGTCATTTCACAGAAAATGACCGGAAAATCAGCCAAAATGTTACAGTTGTGACTGGCTCTAAGCCATTTGTTTCACTAAGCAAGAAAATCTGGTAAGCAATATTTCAGATAAGCAGGATTCTGGTGCTGCAAATCCTACCTTAGCTATTTCCAGGTCTGGCGTGTCTGATGACCCCTTGCCCTTGAACGGCTTCTCCTTTTCAAAGTTTTCAAACTCCTCTGTGTCATGGAAGTGTTCAAATTCATCTTCATCCTGTGCATAAAAAGACGTACAAGCATTTTGATGATGCAAGCACAATAATTAACATTCCTAAAATGTCATGTACAAAGTAAAAGAGGAAATTCAACATTTTGACATGGATGTTTGAAGTAGTTTCTGGACCATCAACAGTATGTATGTGACCTGCTGACAACATAATAACAATAATATTTATATGAATTAACGATAATTGGGTATTAGGGAGACATTCCCATAGACTTGTGCACACATTTGTTTCCCAATTTTAACGACCCGGGGCGTGGGGCACCTTTTTTTCCTTCAAAAAATAAAAGCAAGATGTAGAGAGGGAGAGAGACCCTTCAACAGAGAAGAAGACACAATTAATACGGCAGTTCACGTCAGACCGTAGCCTGCTAGGATTAGTTGCACACAGGACAACAATTATTATTGGGGGTCTGTCATACTTTTAGTTTTACGAAAATAAAAAAAGCGACGGGATCAAGAACTGCGACAAGACAGCACGCGGCGACGAAACCTATGCTAGTATGTTGTACATTACAGGAAAATGCACCCAGACCTCTCAATCCGCTCCGTTCACAAGTACCCCCTCACCGGCAAAGAAAGCACAGTTGGGGGTGACCGACCGATGCCATCTTGCCTGACTGCAATTTTGCCGCGACGCGCGGCCGTACCACTGCGTGTACATAGTACCTATCAGCCTATTTGCGACAATAAAATGTTGCCTCTAAATAGGGGCTGTGGCATTAGGGAGACACTGAAATGTCTCCCTAATTCCACAAGTCTCCCAAAGGTGTAACTTATGACGCTAAAGTCTCTCCCAAAGGTTATACTTGTGGTTGAATTCGAAACGGACACCGAGCCAAAATTCCCCTTCTGTCTCGCTGACAAATTCACAGCAGTCAAAACCAATCAAGTGACTGTTTTCAACAGTTGACAATTCCCTTATTAGTTTGATACAGCCATGCTTAGAAAAGACGTGATTGATATGCCAACTGTACCTACCAGTTACCTCTATTGTCTCTTGATGGAATCTGACTACAATAAGTCGAAGTGTTTACGCAAATGTGCACGGACTGTCTTTTACTAGTCTGTACACAAATGCATGGCATGGGAAGTGGAAGACATTTTTGATTGTTTATGACTGATCAAACAATAGGAGGGTTAAATCAATTGTCAAATACATGGCACTTCTATGTAGAGAAATTTTTTGCCGAGTTAAAACAGGATACCAGCCAAAATGTCATGCAGCATATACTTCATGCAACTGGTTCCCAACTGCTTTTCACTAAGCGCATAAATGTACCAAACAATATGTTCTGCTTAGCATGCAACACCATGAGATTGGGTCGTGGACCCAAGACAGACTGGGACCTTAAGTGCTAGCTCAAAACGATACAAAAGAAGATCAGGCCAACTTTACTCGCTCTTTAACCAGCAAATTTCTCCAAAACTTTCATTGGGCAAAGAAAACATCCTCAGTATTTCACCAACCAAGTTTGAAGACTCAATTTAATTTTTACAGGAGACTTGGCTCGCACAAGAGAGGAAGTCAAGTGATTTCAAAATGAGGCTAAAAACTAGACTTGTACATGTCCATCCATGGTCCAACTGTTTGACAAGACTGACTTCTTATTCATTGTCATTAGTCTGGTGCCTGAATAGGGAGAAATGTGTAGAAATAGTGACCTAATACCCGACATCCTAGATCTTTCTTTTGGCACAGTCAGCTGACAGTTGATTGATGCAGTACTAAGAGTTGTTGGACTGGTTGTTTCAGGTGCCAGTCTATTTTCTTTGTATTGCATGTTTTCAATACCTTAAGTTTTGAGACTCTCATACACAGTAGGCCCTATTGAGAGTCCCAAATTTTCGGAGTAGATACTCCCCTGCTTACCTCCACTACACCATCTTCCTCCTCATCAAAGTCTCCTTCAAACGGCCCCTCCGCCTCAACCACATCGTCAAAGTCGTCCCCGTCTCCTTCCGTCTCCACGGTCCCATCATCTTCTTCTTCGTCGCCCAGGTCCTCAAACTCGGCAAACTCATTGTCCTCGATATCCGCCCCGCGGTGGTTACCGGCAGCGCCGAGTACCAGCGGTGCTAGCAGTAGACCGCACAGGGCCAGCAGGAGAAGGGAACTGCGTGACATGGTGTCTGTTCTAGGTAAAAAGTTATGAAATTTATTTAACTCTTTCTAAAGTCATGAAAATGAATTAAACTGCAACAAACTGCTTCCTCTCTGGATTGACGATACAAATCAACAAAATTAGATGGCCTAACGTCTTAACCCCAACTCCCTAGCATAATGTACTAGGAACCATACCCATCCCGGCAAATTCCAACACCATATGGGAAACACATATTTCTAACTTTGATTCTGGAGGTGTGCCCCATCCACTGTAAAAGACTGTCCGTTTAGGGCTACAGTACCCATGGGCTGGGGGAGGTTAGGGTTAAGCAAGACCTTTTTTAGAAGGATCTTTCTTTCTTAAGTCTTGTATTTTCCTTTCTTGCTCACCTCTGTCTAGTTCAGTTCAGTTTTTATTCAACTCAAGATCAACAATCAAGAAAGGTTGTTTCCATGTCATTCCAAAAAGAAGTATTTTAAGAAATTGTTTGCTTCCAAATGTTCTTTGGAAATTACATGAAAATTCCACAACTATGAAATATGAATGCCCAAATCAGTTTCCCACGTTAGTAACCTTTGTAAGAAGGCAATAAAACCAGAAATAATATTGCAAATTGCCAAAACATTTTCCTATCATTTTCGCTTTTGAATGAACATAGCAATTTTGGTGATTGTGTAGTTAACATGGACCCTGCATTACATGTATTAAGAGAACAAAAATCCACTTTTAGGTTATTGGGCAAACAAACTATTCAGCAACATTAAAAACCAACAGGTACCTGTATGTCGTAGATATAGGCCAGGGTTTTGATGTTTTGAGGGAAATTTTGAGATAAAACGACTATGAATATGACACAATGCAACATACATAAAAATAAAGATGACAATAACTGTGATGCACTGATCTTAAAATGTGTTAGAAAATTGTATTTTCTGCAGCAAAAACTGTGAAAAATTACAAAAAGGTGTCATTTGAATATTAAAGGGAAAGTATTCCGTATCCAGCCCCCACTTTTTTTCAATAAATTTTGAAGCCCCAAAAAGTTTCGTCCTACATCATTATTTTCTCTACGTTTCCTCCTCGACTCTCACCCCTCTGCTTGTCACTTAAAAATATCTATGACTCTGAAAATTGTTGTTTTTGGCAGCGAATACATCGTGGCCGGATACGGAACTCTTCCTGAATTGAGACAGGTCTGCTTCAGACTTAAAAAGACATTTTGGAATGATAAAAAAACATGCTTGAGTACACCAAAACTAGTAAAGAGGGGCCCATAACTACACAATCACCGAAACTTCACCGACATGACAATGACGGACCCTTTGTCACGTTTGTTTGTTTCCAACAACAATATTTGCAAAAACAGAACAGATAATCATAAATGTTGTATACTGTGAAAATAGTGACATACTCGGGATACTGCATTCTTTCTGAAACTTCAATATGTCACTGTCGGAAATACACGAATTAAGCTTGCTTACAAAAATTTTGTACGCATGACAATGCACAACTCAACTGCAGTTACCGGCATGACCGGAAACTTGCAACACTTTATGCCGGGTAACCAACCAAATATCTAAATATATGGATAAATGTTGCACAGCAATTAGAAAATTATCATATTTAAGGCACAAAATCAAAATGTAATAGGTTTTAAGGAGTTTAAATACTTAACAAAAACAAAGACATCACACTACCTGCAAATTAACCCAAAACGCTGCAGTGCGTACCCTGCAGTGCAGCGTTAGCGCATGAATTAGACGGGTTCTGTGCTTAAAATTGTACACGACCAGTACAGACACAAGACCAGGAACCAGTCCCAGTACGCGCATACTTAACAGCGCCCTCTCTTGGTGAGATATGTCCAATCCCTACGTACCTACCTCTTCAACAGTTCAAATCGCCGGCAAAATGACTTTTTAAAAAGTGCTTCAAAACAGTCCCCCAGTCTTTTTACTCAAAATTGGGAAGGAAAAACAATTAGCCGTCGTTTCCTCAAAATATCCGAAATTATGAAAAAATTGTAGGGCTCATAGCAACATTTTGCTGCTTATAAAAATCGGACCACGGGTTGCCGCGCAGCTAATTTTTTTCCGGCGCTACGCGCCGTGAAAACTGAACTTTAGTTTCCCATGTACGTCGTGTACACAGAGCACAATTACCATTCGTACATATGAAAAAATAATAAGCCATAATTCCTAAACCGTTTGACCTATAGTCATTAAATTTTTTGGGTATGTTCATGATGAATTGTTCTATGCATGTACCGAGTTTCAAAATTTTTCGTCACTCGCGTTGGCCGAGATCTTGGCCCCCCCCCCCCGGCTGAGAGATGGTCAAAATATTCCGGCCCTTTTAGGGTTAAGGAACTGGAGATATTTTCTTCTTACTTGATAGGCCCACATAATAACCATTTGTCTGTCGGGGATGGGGGCAATGTAGCCACCCGACCGTATACTTCGATACTGGGATACTTGGACCGTATACTTGTATACTTGGATCTGCCCCTTAGTCAAGTCCTCAGTCAGCCTACTCTATAATTTGGTTTTCAGAAATAACCTGACGTCGACGGAAGGTGGCTCAGTCCGGCGGGCAAAATAGACGACAGTCGTGCTACGATTGGGTGGTGGGTAAAGAATATTCGGTCAACACTATAGGCATCACCCTTATTTAGTTCACGCAAGTTTGTTTTTCTTCCAAATCCCAAGTGCTAACAAAGTGGCGGGCAAAGATCACATTTACTTAGGGTGCGTTGCCGGGATTGTTATGTGTGGGTATGTAAACGTCATACAGTTTATGACTTCGGGAAGTTGTTGCTTCAGGGGATCAGAAAGTCTAGTCTTGCAATTCACTGTCCAGTGTTTCCCTTCGCCGATCTTTTTACACTCTTTACTGTGGCTTTATTAGCGCATCTTGGTATATAAGCCTATAGTTCACGGTGAACCCTGCGATGGAGAATTTGTTTTCTTAAGTATTGTGGCATCCAGAAATCGGCAGTGTATATCAACGAGTAATTAGTGCCGTGCCATCAAATCTAATGTTTGCCACGGACGTTGATCAGAAGAGGTCGTGACGTCAACATAATTGGATTTCGTCACTAAAGGGTAAGTAGGCCCATCACCTTTAAATGGAATACGACTTTTCATTGAAAGTGTTGGAAATTTCTGTATCAAATACCAAATGGAGACGCTTAAAACTTGCCTTCAGGTTGACTTATTTTTGAATCCATAACCATTTAGGATATTATACCATGACTCAATTAACTTTTCCGAAAACATAGGCATAAGACGATATACATTGTATATAGGCATTTTTTTTTTAACGATCTTGCATGTGTAACTATGTGTGAATTTACCTTGTGACGTTTCGTGAATCGCAGCCCGGTCATCTTCATTTATACATGAACTACGGTAAGCCGATATTTCATTACTCCCTTCACGATCATAGTTAAGCGTTTGTTTTTTTAAATTGATTTTCCTTTTAGTAGAGAATGCGACGTATAAAACTGACCAACCTGCTGATCTGCGGAATCGCTACGTTCCTCTTCGGGGCAACGTATCTTGCATTCAAGGAACCACCCAAAGGTAATGCCCGGTATGAGGCAACACTTCATAATTATTGCAACAGAAAGAAACACAAGTTAGCAAAAAAAGTTGGAAAGCCTAGTGTTCAAAATTGTTCTACGAACTCTCTTTCCCTAATTTCTAAATCTTGGAACCGCCCATAAAAGCCCAAAGCGACATCTAACCAAAGTGATCTTTCGATCAACCCCACAACTGAGCTCAAGAACTCTTAAACGCAACTTTGGCAAAAGGTTTGGCAGGTATGGGCATTTTGGATAGACTCAAAGTATTCATAATTTTCTAAAACGTTAATGCGTTTATAGCTATAAACGCCAGACTTTAAAACCCCTACAAGCTTACTCCTACATACTGACCAAAATGACTACAGATGAAAGAGTGCAGTATGGATGGGTTACCAGTTTTAGATTGCCGTTATCAACATTACGCTGTCACGATGATTAAAGACGTTTTCCCGCGAAAAAAAAATTTGAGTGCTTTTTCCTAGCAATATAAAAGTTGTTCAATAGCAATATAAAAGTGTGTTTTTGATGGATATAGAGAATATGATGATGAAGATTTTTTTTTTACGATGAGACATCGAACGAACAAATCCACCAACGTTTAGTTATTTAACCATTTTTACCCAAAGTTCGAATAAAATGGCACTAGTAATTCGGCTCTCGTAATTTGTGGTGTTTCGTCGATCAATTTTACTTGATAATTAATTTTGTTTGAAGGTAGAAATTGAATTCCTTATTAAACGGCTGTCCTCATTATTACAAATTATGCGTTTGTAATTTTGCATTGCTTTTAAACAAGACTGTACTGTAGATAACGAATAATTTGATAAGCCCTTTCCCACATCATGCAATGCAAGCCATGCATGATAACCTTTCCATATTTTAACGCCTACACGTGTTCTACTATCACAACTAACAAGTGAATTTCCATGCGCCGATATCCCAGAGCAAATACATGGACGTTGTGTACACATTGGGTGGGCCGTGGTTAGGCTGTTTTATGAGTACATCGGCAAATAGTCCCGACAATAGCAATGCAAAGAATCGTGCATACCAAGCACAGGGTCACTGACTGACATTTACATAAAGGTACCTATAATTAGAAAACCATGAAATTCGACAGCTATTCAGTTTAATAATGTCAAAGATTAAAGGACACATTGGCCGAGCTTCTTGAGTGTTTAAACCCTATGAACTTCATAATCACGTAATAAACTCCTTTAGTAGGCCTACTAATGTTGCATGCAGACCAGTAAATAAACTGCCATATATAGACTTCAGTGATAAATACCCACACTTCCCAAAAATAAGGAAAAATACTCACAACTCTCCAAGATGTTTGGGACACACATCAAATTAAAAGCTTATTTCACGATCGTTTATTTTCTGTTAACTTTTTTGGGGAGGGGGGGGGTAATCTGATGACTTTTGGGAGAGATTTCATAAATCGAATGATACCGCTAAACGTAGCTCTGCGGAAGCTTATTGCCATTTTGACACATGATGTCATCAACGCTCCATTGCAAAATAGAGCAATTACTGAGGGCCAGTGGCGTAGCCAGGAATTTTTCAGTGGGGGGGAGGGGGGGGGGGGGCGCTGGGGGGCTGGAACATTTTATGGGGGGGGGGGGCGTCATGTAGATCAATGATAATTTTTTTTAGAAACTCAAAATCTCAGTGGGGGGGGGGGGGCGACTGGGGGGGGGCGACAAGGTTTCATGGGGGGGGGGCTGTCACCCCCCACGCCCCCCCCCCCCGTGGCTACGCCACTGCTGAGGGCCCAAGTAAATCCAAATTTCACAGAAAAACAAGCTCGCAGTCCTGTTCACGGCTTCCACCCTAGCAAAATCCTCAAGTTCATGACAAAAATACTCTTATACCATAGCCTTCAAGGGCATGCAAATCGGAGTTGGTCGGCGCAGAAAATGTTGGGCCTATTTACTGGCCTGCAACCTTTTACATGTACGTTTTGTTCCGAAATGACCCACTTCACGTTCAAGACACGGTATTCAGCATTACACTTTCAAACGTCGCGAAAAAAAAACACGTCCGGTAAATTTAAGGGTAACACAATCATCAGTATAAGTGTAGTCGAGGAAGTTATCTCATTTTCAGAACTACATTATACATTCAAAAGAGATAAGTTACACTCCAAATAACTGCAGTGAAAATATCTCCTTTAGGCAACCGGGTGAAGGTTGTCTAAAGGAGATATAACCGAAACGTTGTATAACCGAAACGTTGAGGCGTAACTCTGCCATTGTCAGAATTAAACAACTTAACTAAGTCATGAGCGACATCCTAATAAGTCGACTCGTAAACTCATGGATCCAGAAAGCACCAAATCAAAATCGTGGTTGTCCGATGACGTCACACAAAGTTTCTTCTATGATCCCTGTTTCAGAGAGGACAGCACCCGCTTCCGAGAGGGGGTTAGGAGGTAAGGTACCCGACCTGTCCGGTAACTCAGCCGTCAAATCTCGGCAACCTTTGGGTGACGACGATGATGCCTTACTGCTCCCCTTCGCCGACCGTGCCTTACCGCGCCGTCTCCTGCAGGTACCCAGCTACATGCGTATGCTCAACGCCTCAACAGAAGGTAAGTTTAAGTTTGCAAAGTAAACTGTGCCACAACTGCTGATTTATGGCCCGATATTAATTGGCATTCAGTTTCAACGTTTCCAGAATAGCATTAACATCTTCAACAGTACCCCATTAATAGCTTGATTTTGTTTATTGCTTCTGAGTACATGATGTGCAGCCCGTATAGGCCTACATCTTACGGTTAACCATGGTAACTCTTGTGAATAAATATTAAAGTAACGTAGGACTAAAACATTCCACACCCTCTGAATTGATTTCGAAGGTATAGACATCGACATAGCGTGGGGCGACATAGACTTTCACAATCTGGATTTGAAGACGGTCATAGTGACAGGCCTGTCAGGATACACGGAGGAGGAGGGGGTGGGGCTTGTTGCCTCCGCCCAGATTCACATGCCCTTCAAGAAGATCATTATCTATGACCTAGGGGTCAAGCAACGTACATTAGACAGGGTAAGTAAAAAGGGCCTTGTCGTGCGAAATTTGGATCAAACCTACATATCGACAGGTGCCAGACTATAAGACATCAGTAATTATAATATCCAACATTGTCGGATCTGCAAAATGAAACCAGGGAGGGAAAGGGCAGCTTGTGGTAGCGCACTCGTATCCTCGACGCCGGGGACGAGGTTGGTCAAAGAGCGGTTTACCAGAGCCGGACCTGTGGAATGTGTTACCCGTGACGTCATGCCAACAGGCAACCGACACCGACAGGCACATACACCTAAGCATCTTTTTTTCATTTTGCGCACAAATTCAAGGAACATCAACACTTTAAACGCTCAGTAAAAAGTTGCCCTTGATACTTAGCTTTTAGGTAGAATTTTAGAATATTAAACACTTTTTAATGCAAGGCCTGCCCTGAATAATAATTTATTTTTTCTGTCCCGCAGCTCTCACCGCTGTGCAATGTGGAGATTCGCAAGTTTGACTACACCAAGTACCCTGCTCATGTCAAGATACTAAGGAACAACGCGTGGAAGCTCGTCGTGATAACGGTACGAAACCACATGTTGCTCCGTGTGAACCCATTTTGACCGCTTTTAGTTTCTGCCAGTCGTTATTTCATGTACCCCTAACTGCCATTTCAGACTGGCGTTCCAGAGTCGTGCCAAAACCAAATAGCATTAGCGCTAAGAGTCTGCGTTTCTATTCGACCAAAATAGATGTTTTAAACATGCGAACGTATGTTAATTTTTTTATTGGCCATAGACGACGGGGTCACTCCGAACGAATGCAACAGTCAATCTCTCGACGACTTGTGCGTGCAGTCGTTCCTTATTGTCTCACAAGTCGAACATAATTCGAATGGGACGCCAGTATAAAATAGTGGGAGTATCACCCGTTGTCCACTCCGTAACCAACGTCTGATGCAATTATGCGAGCAATGCAAATGTTAAAGACCCAGTGTTTGATTCCTTACAGGAAGCTCTTGAGGAGTTCGGTTCGGTCTTCTACGCCCACCCTCACCTCCGCTTCAGAGCACCAATCAGCATCCTGTTCCCTTACGTCAAGCAGATGCACGGATTCATCCCCAGCATGAACGACGACACTCCGTTACTTGAGGTCACCCACCCGACCACGCTGCGGCTCATGCAGGTGAAACCGGCCCAGCTGAACCGGACCAGGGGGCCAGGGGGCTCCAGAGGCCCCGGAGTGATCTCCGGCCACATGCTACTGTTCGTCATGAACTCTACTTTAGCCAACCGGGTTCTGCCAGGGCTCCGTAAGTGCTACCTCCGCAGCAAGTGCCTCAGCCCGCCGGGGGCCATGTGGCAGCTGCAGCGGCCGGGAAAAAAGCTACACCGGCACCACTTCGACCAGGCGGTGCTGTCCCTGATGATGTACAAGCTGTACGGGGTATCCTGGCAGCCTCGGGAGGAAGTACAACGCATGATGAAGAGGCTGTTCGTGGTCCTGGACGAGGGAGACCCGGTGCATGAATTGTCCTGGTCCTTCCGGTGCAATCCGCCCAAGGAGGAGTTCGACCCCGCCAAACTGCTGCAAAAGAAATTATGAGATGGCCATTGTGAGATGCGTGGACACAATAAAAGAGCGCTATCGCAAGTTCGTTCGTGAAAAAAAGTTGACCAAATTTCGACTAACTCTGGTCGAAAGCTCGTCATTCAACGATGTATTCGGGACCACAGGTTACCGAAGTCGGCCGCATTGCTGGTCATCAGTATCCGTGGGCATCATAATGCACATAATGCACAGCAGGAGGCTACCTGCAGGACCAAGAAGTTTCGTGATGAAGTTTTGACCTAGGGTTGCCAAGAGAACGGTTACTATTCGTGCACCATCCATTACGTCACGAACCATCCACTATATGGTCCACCAATGGTCCCCAATTGGACTTGTTAAGAATGTATCCAATCCAAATAGCGCACTCCTTGAGTCTGCCATAGCTATCATAAAGGATAATATGTAAATATTGCAGCACTGTTTGACCAACATTCAAGAGCCCATGGCACACCTTGCTTGCGAATTGGGTTAACAAATACTAATTGCCTACTTCCTCGTTTAGAACAAAACTACGACAAACCGAAATAATGAGACGCAATGCGAGTATTATATCAAGCATAAAACAAAAAAGAAAACAAAAGGGATAAAAAGAGATTGGTTGAAATAACCAATATATTGGTAGCATTGATAGATTGTGTCCAACCAAACCGAGAAATGGTTGGACACATATCTACCAATCCTACCAATATACTGGTTATTTCAACCAATCTGTTTTTAGATATGTAGCTGTGTTAAAAAAATTACACCTTATTACAGGTTTTCCCGGCCAATTTCCTAAAATGTTCATTCAATTCTGAAAATCGGTCATTCATTTTCGTCTGAATTTGAGAACTGCTCTGAACACGCGTTTCATTTTCGCTACCAGAGCATTCGATTCCATTTCAGTTAAATCAATTAAGTGATTGAGCAGCACCTTTTGTTTATGTCCATTCAGATTCGTTCACAAGATTTCTTTTTCACTTTTTGAGGGCGGTTTAAAATATTCACCATTCTATTTCACTTTCAGTTAGTGCCATCGGCACCAGATACAATTAGGGGTTTCTTTTTCATTAACCGTCAATCAAATTAGCTGTACTTGAAATCAATTAAGAAAAGGAATGCTTGCGTAAATGAATGCACAGGTAACGTAATTGGCCGTCTGTTTCTCAAAACCGACGGCACGGACAATGAAAACGATTGAACTTTCGTTGAATTGAAATGGATATAAAAGACGTGCATTCAAACTCAGACGAAAACAAATGACCGATTTTTAGAATTGAATGAACATTTCAGGAAAATGGCCGGGAAAACCTATACTATCAAACTATAAAGGTTGTTTATGGAGTGCCTTTGATGTTTTTTTTGTCACACCGTTCCCCTAAAATGAATAAGCGTGCACAAATCAATGACAGATAACGGAAGGAAGTTTAAGGATTATTAATGAACAGCAATTAGGCATATGTGTTTTTCCTGCAGAATGTTCGTTTCCAATAATAAAGCCACTCAAAATCCAAATAAAAACCTGTGCTACACAATTGAGCGTTTGATATACGAAGTTTATTCCAAGTAAGATTTTTGATAACAGTTCAGTAGGTTACTTTTGGGATAAATGCAAATGATCCCATATGTCTTTAAAGAAAGATTTAAACTTAACAAAACAAATATACGTCAAATCAGATCCGTGCCTTTCACATGTACCTAACAACGAGCATGATGGGACAATGAGTGTTGATTGAAAGAATAGTCGTAATAAATTGGTGAAAACATAAGTGTGTGAATTAAGAAGTGAATTAATGTGAATTCATATTAAAACTATTCATCTAAAAACATAACGCATCTACATCCTTAGCATGATAACTTTGGTATCATGAAACTGGTATCTAAAAGGAGGGACTGCATTAAGAGTACAGAAAAGGACAGGGGAAATCCCAAGCCTTTTGGATTTCTTTTAGTGATCGTAGAGTTATATTTGGGTGGTTATCATCTGCTTGTGGTGATTGACAACAGAGGGCGCCAAACAGATTTGCCACTAGTCTCTAGATGCGGTGTTATCAAGGGAGGGCATCAAGTGAGCAATTCTCTGTCATCTATGTACATAGTTTGTTTTGTTTTTTGTTTTTTTGTTTACACATATTTCTCCAAATCAATGAACATTTGGTCCGCTGTAATCACTACTATCGAAACTGTAACGACATCTGCAAGATTCAATTCACCTTCTAATCACTAACAAAATGAATCTGTATTTCAATTTGGCACGCGTATCAAAACAAATTACCTTTTCCTACAGTTACATACATGCGAACTATCATACTGAAATTTGTATCCTTCTGGAAACATTTCTTTGTTCTCGTGTACTAAAGTTTTCGAGTTTGAAAGTACAGTTTCAAAATGCCCTTATTTTAACCAGAATTAATTCCTTGGCGGACTTAATATCCCTTTTCTAAAACTCTACCATTTGCGACGGATCAACATACCTTGGAAATTCCTAGTTTTTGAGTAAAATTCATAGTAAAATTCATATATGTATGATTAAAATGTTACATTCTAACTAAAGAAGAAGTTCTAAACTGCATGTCAGTGAAAAAGCCGCTGTCATCGATGCCGAAATGTCAATACTGATTACTGTCAAAGCTGACCTTAAAGTCTGGAAGAAATCGTTCGAAAACTTCCCCAAATGCATATTTTTAATCTCCATTTAAGTTGTTATTTCATGATTAGTTGAACACTTGTATCATCTAAGTATATTCCGAATTTTAAATTAATCTGTCGTTGCGGACGCTAATGTTACACATGGAACCGTCTCCGAGGAAAATTTCGAAGAGGATAATTTTCCGTCTCTTCCCATGTGCATTGTTCAGCAAAGCGCTGTAGGCGCTACGGCTGACCGATTTCGGCGCGGCACACAATGATGACGGGCATATTAGCATATTCATTGGCGTTACTCGGCGTGACATGGCGTGGGTCTCGGTATCGACCAATGGAAGACGGCAAAAAAGGGTGATATATGTTAATTAACAACTCGTGAAGGAGGCTTTTATGCAATTGTCTACTGCACACCATAATAGATAGGAACCTCATTAATATTCGTGAGGCTTGAAAATATTGTTAATATTGTTAAATAGTGTTACAATTTTCAAAATTGCACCTAGCCAGGCCTATTTTTCCGATTTCAACAAAAAGCAATGAGCATATCACAACGATTTTTAGCATGTAGGTGCATGTAGATACGGTCTTCCAAACGGGAGAAATTAATTTTCAAAGATTTCACCCGCCAACGTGAACATGTCTGTGTACATTTAGAAATCGCCCTTCACAACCACACTGCTGGTCTAGTGGGGCAGATAGGGAAACCTTGTTGTGCCTTTGATGACACAAGCATGGAATTTGGCACGCAGTCAGAGTATGTCTTAAGAAAAATATTTGGCTAGAGTCGCAGATTTGATCTTTGAAAAAAAAATAGGTAGAATAACAAGCAATTTTCAAAATTTTCAAAATGGCTGACACTGCTTGTTATTCTTTCTATATTTTTTCAAAGGACCAATCTGTGATAGCCCTATAGCCAAATATAGATCTTTCTCATGACTATGTGCCAAATACCATGCTTGTATCATAATATCATAAAGGCACAATCCCATCACCTATCTGCCGTAGTCATACTATAGTCATGCAAAACTATCCAAAGAATTCCCCATGTTTCTATGCATATTTCTCCACCTCGGTAGATGAGAAATTACAGGCATACTGCTCGGTCCCTCCCCATGGGCCTCGTCGATCGTCATTAATGATGGCCATTGTCTTGCACTGTCTCGCATCTTCATTGCATTATTAAACACGATGAAAGGCCATAAACGAACATCAAGTTCAGTGTAGCTCTGCACGATAACATCGTAAAGCACCTAAATGTGTACGTTACCTTGCCAACAAGATACAGCCCTCTTATCATAATAATATGCAATAAGAGCAACCCTGAAGTATTGCATTATATTCATAACTTAAAATCACATAAATTTGGTGTACCAAACCTTTATGATGGTTTCCTTGACATCCAAAATATATTTCGTACTAAAAGTTAAATTTGACTAGGAGTTCAATTCATTTTCGTTCAGATAAATAGATACATGTAGAAGCATAAATTAAAGACATTACTCTAAACTTTAAAAATAAGTATAGGTTTTCCCGGCTATTTTAAACGATTTTCATTCAAATTCACCAACTCTATCATTCAATTTCGTCCACGACAAATTTCACAAGCTCTTAACAAATCAATTTAGTCATTTACCATTCAATTTTTTAAGTTTGGTCACCCTCTTTAGTCACCGGGTCGAGAATATTCGTCATTACAGATCAAATTCGTCAAAACTGCTGCCGAATGGCAGCATTTAGAAATCAAATTCGAACATTATATAAATCAATTAGACGAATTTGATTTCTGAATAACAAGGTTTGCGTAGACGAGACGCAAAATACTCTTGGACGAAAACGTGTACACATTGTTTGAATTTAATTGAACTGAATTTGAAATTGTATGAGAAAAGGCGAAATTAAACATTGGAAGATCACTAGATCGATGTTTCTGGACGAATTTGAATATTGGAAACGGTGAATTCGAAAGATAGACGTTTTAAAATAGCCGGAAAAACCTAGGCGTATATTACCTCGAGATTGGAATTAAACCCTTGCGACGAATTATACACTGTGCCGAACAGGCATCGACATTGTTATGTGAATAATGAGGCATTGAAGTCAAGTCGACGCACGTCACATTTTACGGTCACGCACAATGAGCTGAGCCAGCATAGGTTGCTAGCTGTTGAGGTCCGCAAAATTACTTTATTAGTAAATCGTTGAGAATGGACGCAGCAGCAGTGGTAATTCTTTTGGTGGTCTCATCAGTATCAGGTAAGACAATTTTGGCTTCTTGTACAGGGTTCGACCACTTTAGCGGTAGCCAGCTAACCAAAAGCTAGTCAAAATAGCGACGGGCTAGTCGAACTATATTCCTTAAATTTGGTATATACGTGCGTTTTGGGTGTAAAACCTTAAGAAAAAAATTTGAAATTAAATTGAAAGGTTTTTGCATTACATTAATGATGAGCTTTCCAATGAGACATCGCACGAAAAAAACGGCCTACGACAAGGAGTCAATAAAAATAAATTTCAACTTTTGAATTAAGAGCGGACGCTCCTAATTCGTTCTGAATAGTGAGCGCAATTTCTGAACTGGAGTGCGCCATTTAAAACCACTTTTTAAAACTGTGTAAAGGCCTGAAAGAAACAAACAAGCAAATTTATTTTGTACCATAGGTTTTCCCGGCTATTTTAAAACATTTTCCGATCAAATTCACCGACTCTTATATTCAAATTTGTCTAGCAACATCGATTTAGTGCACTTCCAATGTTTATTTTCGTCTTTTGTCAGACAATTTCAAATTTTGTCCAAACATATTCAAACAATGAACACACATTTACGACCCGGAGTATTCGATTTCGTCTCGTCTACGCCTAATCGTGTTTTCAGAAATCAAATTCGTCTAATACCACACAATTTAACATAATTTTGTTCAATTTTGTCATACTTCATATCGAAATCTTCAAAGGCATATAGGCCTCTAATAAGAATAAGTCTTTACTTTTTCTTTCCTTATTTCTTCATAAATGTGTCATTTCTTTTGATTGTAGCTTTTTAAAATATGTTAGACTCAATATTGTAGGCATATTACACGGGGATTGATGGGCTATCGATTCGTGGCCTTTGACATTTCTTTTTTCATTGTAAGACTTTTT